CTGCTGTAGGATTGAACTTCTTCTTACTTTCTGCATCCAAAGCCAGTTATCCTGTCAGAGTCAATTCTGCCTGATGTGAGAGCTTCATGTGATCTGAGACAATAGGGCTATAAACAACGTGGTGCTGAGTTGTGTGGGGCCGCAGCAGTAAAAGCAGAGCTCAGTGGAGGAGTGCTGTGGAATTTGCTAATGGCTCATAGAGATGAACCCTCGCCCCTCCCCAGCCCCGCTGCAGACCCTTCCCCCTCACAACATTTGACGTCAGGTCTGCTCTGTATTTGGTTAAACTGAGCCTAAACCCACAGTAGAAAGCCTGAGTTAGCTAAAGGTGAAGCAGGGTTTGTTGGCCTGAACCGTGCGTCTCCACCTTAAAGGCGGTTGTTAATGGGCCGGCTGGTCATTAAGCTCTCACAGACTGAAAGGAATGGGGCCATGGGCCTGGCTTAAATCCTCTGTGCCAATAGACTCTGTGAAGCAAAATAATGGCATCAGTGCGTGTGTGAGTTAATGGGAGCTGATAGCATGAAGGCTGGGGGGTCAGCAGGTCACAGGCTTGTGCTAAGTTGTCAGAGAGCTGAATGCTGTCCCCAGGCCCACAGCGGGGGTGCGAAGCAGGGGAGGGGTGGAGACCCCCTCCACTTTCTGTGGAATGAGGAGAAGAAGAGGAAGAGAGGAGAGGCCGCCTGCAGTCTGTGGACTCTGGGTCTGATACAGTCACCATGCTACATACAGTAGTGTGAAGCGTGCTCACAGAGGAGAGCTACAGAGGAGAGCTGCCTAGGGAGCTGTAAGTCATGTGGAGGCCTGAGGCCTGTCACTGCTCTGATTTAGTCCAAAGAGGCTCCTCGGAGCCAGCTGCAGCAGAATCGGTCAGAACTGGGATATAATTTATGTCTACACATAGTAATCTGTTACTCCCTGCAGTGCTCCCTGGAGGCAGAGGCATGATGCACAATATAGGAACAACATCTGTTGATTCAGTTTCAGCCCTGTCAGAGCACCACACTATAAATGCTATATTTACAACCTGCTGTGAGGAGCTGATGGGACCACGGCCTTAAGTTCAAAGTGTTTGTTATCTAGTCCCTTAAACATTATTTGATGATTGTTGTTCTGTGTTGCAGATGCCAGTCTGTCTCCGGACGCTCCGAAGCAGGTTCACTGGTGTAACGTGGCGTATTGGGAACACCGCACACGCGTGGGCCGCCTCTACACCGTGTACGAACCCTCCGTCAGCATCTTCTATGATCTACCTCAAGGCACAGGCTTCTGCCTGGGCCAGCTCAGCCTGGAGCAGCGCAGCAGCACCGTGCAGCGGACTCGAGGGAAAATCGGTTATGGCATCCTCCTGAGCAAGGAGCCCGATGGCGTGTGGGCCTACAACCGCAGCCACCACCCCATCTTCGTCAACTCCCCCACGCTGGATGTGCCAAACAGCAGGACTCTGGTGGTGCGGAAGGTCATGCCTGGATACTCCATTAAAGTGTTTGACTATGAGCGCTCAGGCCTGCTCCGCCACAACCCAGACACACCCCTGGACGGACCCTTCGATCCCAACAGTGTCAGGATCAGCTTTGCTAAAGGCTGGGGCCCCTGCTACTCCAGACAGTTCATCACCTCCTGCCCCTGCTGGCTGGAGATCCTCCTCAACAATCACAGATAACAACTAAACTGTCCAAATATCTGCTACCTAGATTTAATATAAAGTTTTATATATTATATGAAATATATATTGTACTTGTAAATATGGAGTCATTTTTACAATGTCATTATTTATGTATGATGCAATGTGTATATGGACAAGAGGAAAAAATGGAAAATGCACTTTGGCTTATATATTATATAAATGTATTAAGACAATAAATCTTTCAATACCGACCTGAAATGACACATATGGATACACCTGGATTTGATGAATAGTTTTATATATATTAATATCCAGTCAAACAAATAGCAATCACACATTCATAATAAAGCATTAAAAACAACAGTTTTTTCTTTTAACAACAGACTCTCTTCTTTTGATCGCTGAGTTTTCTGCTGAATCGTCCAAACCCTTTTCTTTTCACAAACTTCCATAATGGAGACGTCTGTGTTTTATTAGCCAGTTGTCCTTGAGGTCCCAGGAGTCTTTGCTGCGGGACGATGAGCGCCTTGAGTGCGTGTCCCCCTGATGTGTCCCCCTCTAAACGTCTCCTTGGGCTCCACACTGACCGCTGCAGAACCACCTCAGATCCTCTGGAATGTGCTCAGAATCCAGGGAGTGTTACAAGCGCGCTGGAATCTTAAACGCAGCAGCCAGGGTGGATGTGGTTTACCAGTTTCCTTCATAATGACCGGGTTGGGGATGTGAGGAGGGGGTACAGGCTTCTGCCAACTCTCTACAAAATACATTCTTTGACGCTGTGAAAAAAACCTGGGGGTGTAATGACCGCGTGTCGCCTGAGAGTGGCGCTGTGTACTGCGCTGAGAGGAGCCACATGGAGCCACCACAGACTATTGTAGCAACTGTGGATCTATTATGTCTTCTGTTGAAAGAAATACAGAAAGAATAATAACAATAATAAAAATAATAATTCAGGAAGTAAAAAAAAAAAAGAATACATGAAATATTAACAAACATATGAAATAGATTAAACAAATATAAAGGATTAAATAAATTACGAATTGTTTTATGATCAAGATGAAGCGATGGTTTATTGGTCCCACAGTGAAACATGGCTAAAAAAGAGCAGTTAAAAACATTAGCGTTATTAAAAACAAAAAACTAAAAAAAGGATAGAATCTCTAACTTGTAAACAAATATTTAGTTTTTAACTAAATATTAATAATTAACTTTAACTTTACCATGGCAACAGGGTCCAGTGTGTCTTGACCTCTGAAAAACGCCAAACATCGGGCGAAACGTGTGGAACTGAGAGAGAACAGTTTCTAGACGTTTTTAAAGGTTGGTTTGGATGTCGGCCCCAAGTCGACTGGGAGAAAATATAAACAACGCATTCCATCCATCCATCCCTTTTCTTCCCCTTAATCCATTTCTTGGTCAGGGGGGTGGCCAGGGATACCACCCAGTCCACTTAGCACCAGCCCCTCACTGATCCTCCTGCACTTGTGCAATTTTCACAGAGAGACACAGACGACTGCACTCTACTTTACTGTACTCTACTCTACTCTACTCTACTCTACTCTACTGTACTCTACTATACTGCAATCTACTCTACTCTACTGTACTCTACTATACTCTACTGTACTATACTCTACCCTACTCTACTCTACTCTACTCTACTGTACTCTACTATACTGCACTCTACTCTACTCTACCCTACTCTACTCTACTCTAGTGTACTCTACTATACTCTACTGTACCCTACTCTACCCTACTCTACTCTCCTCTACTCTACCCTACTCTACTCTCCTCTTCTCTACCCTACTCTACTGCACTCTACTATACTCTGCAGTGTCTTTTGAGATACAAGAATAATATAAACTCGAGGCTGAAGTCTGTTCCTCAGAACCCGCCTCCGCAGTAATTACAGACTGAAGAGGATTTATTTTAGAGTCTTTCCACCGACCAGGGTTCATGAACGCACACACACACACACACACAGAGATACACACACACAGAAACACGGACACACATAACCACATACAAACACAGTAAGTTCGTACAGGGGCGGCACGGTGGCTGAGTGGATAGCACTCTAGCCTCTCAGCAAGAAGGTCTTGGGTTCGAATCCCGGTCGGACCAGGGCCTTTCTGAGTGGAGTTTGCATGTTCTCCCCGTGTCTGCGTAGGTTTCCTCCGGGTACTCCGGTTTCCCCTACCACTAAAAATATGTCCAATAGTTCTGGCATGCGCCTCCTGTACAGGCCCCGCTCCCATCTCTGTGTGGAGTGAGAGACAAATGCCCAAAAATGAACAATTGTAAACCGCTTTGAGACTCAGATTTGCAGTGAAAAGGCGGTATATAAATAAAAACTTACTTACTTACTTACTTACAGATGCACACACTCAGAGACACACATGTCAGTACACACACAGAGACACACATGTAGAGACACACAGACACACACACACACGCAGAGACATACACAGACACACACACACAAAGAGACACACACACTCTCTCTCCCTCAGGCTTACTCTGACAGCTCGTCATCGGTGCCTCTTCATGTCCTACAGATTATGGGCAACAGACAACAGACGACAAAGAGCCGTTCAGGAGACTGCTACACACACACACACACACACACACACACAAACACACACGCACAGACAACTCTACACAGAAACATAGAATACAAAGTTGTTTTCGTTTGTTTACTTTGTGGAAAAATGCCATTCCCTTGAACTATACAATACGAAACGCAAGCGGCTTTGAGGGCCCACCTTTTGCTCCATCTAATTATTACTTGGAGTTCCACAGTTCGGCAGTAAACTTTTACACCGATCACATTATGAGTCATATCAGAGAGAAGGCTGTGGAATAGTCATAAAAATCACGGTTAAAAAAAAAGGGTAAAGATAAAATCCTTGCAGCGAACCAGAACTGGATTTGAAAATAGTCAGAGAAGAAGCCTGTCTCACATTGTCAAGAAGACTGTTCCAGATTTTAGCTGCATGAATCTGAAACACTGCCTCTCCATGTTTAGTCCTGACTCTGGGACCAGCAGGAGGCCAGTCCCTGTGCTCCTCAGAGTCCCAGCAGGAGACCAGTCCCTGTGCTCCTCAGAGTCCCAGCAGGAGTCCAGTCCCTGTGCTCCTCAGAGTCCCAGCAGGAGGCCAGTCCCTGTGCTCCTCAGAGTCCCAGCAGGAGGCCAGTCCCTGTGCTCCTCAGAGTCCCAGCAGGAGGCTAAGTCCCTGTGCTCCTCAGAGTCCCAGCAGGAGACCAGTCCCTGTGCTCCTCAGAGTCCCAGCAGGAGACCAGTCCCTGTGCTCCTCAGAGTCCCAGCAGGAGGCTAAGTCCCTGTGCTCCTCAGAGTCCCAGCAGGAGACCAGTCCCTGTGCTCCTCAGAGTCCCAGCAGGAGGCCAGTCCCTGTGCTCCTCAGAGTAGCAGGAGGCCAGTCCCTGTGCTCCTCAGAGTCCCAGCAGGAGACCAGTCCCTGTGCTCCTCAGAGTCCCAGCAGGAGGCCAGTCCCTGTGCTCCTCAGTCCCAGCAGGAGGCCAGTCCCTGTGCTCCTCAGTCCCAGCAGGAGGCCAGTCCCTGTGCTCCTCAGAGTCCCAGCAGGAGGCCAGTCCCTGTGCTCCTCAGTCCCAGCAGGAGGCCAGTCCCTGTGCTCCTTTGAGTCCAAGTCAATGGAAGTTCCTCAGTGAAGCAGGTTTAGGTTAAAAAGCAAAGTTACAGATTGATGAAAAGACACGCTCACATTTATTTGTATAGCACAGTTAAAAACAATCACAGTAAATATTTCTCCTAAACGAGCAGGAGCCAGAATCTTTCCACATCTTCCTAGTTTTCCATAGCTATTCTCTCAATTGAACAGAAAAGATAAATATACAAAGCAGTTCCAATGGATGCCGATGCAGTAAAAGTGCCCTGAGGCAGCGAGGGGACGGCGCCGCTCTCAGCTCGTTGTGATCCTTGTACCGCCGCGTTCTTTGGAGATGGACACGTTAGAGCTTGTCTCCTGTCGCCGCCCAAAGCAACAAACAAACTGAGCTTTGTGTTCTCTTTTGTCTGGGGTTATAGCTGCGGTACCTGACTTTCTTCATTCATAATAATAACACGTTTGTCCCAAAAAAGAGTCATTTATGAACAATAGAGATTTTATACTTATTTATTATGCTAAAGCTAGAGATTTTACACTAGCTTCTTTATTATGCTAAAGTTAGAGATTTTATACTAGCTTCTTTATTATGCTAAAGTTAGAGATTTTATACTAGCTTCTTTATTATGCTAAAGTTAGAGATTTTATACTAGCTTCTTTATTATGCTAAAGCTAGAGATTTTACACTAGCTTCTTTATTATGCTAAAGTTGGAGATTTTATACTAGCGTCTTTATTATGCTAAAGCTAGAGATTTTATACTAGCTTCTTTATTATGCTAAAGCTAGAGATTTTATACTAGCTTCTTTATTATGCTAAAGCTAGAGATTTTATATTATCTTCTTTATTATGCTAAAGCTAGAGATTTTATACTAGCTTCTTTAAAAGCTAGTATAATAAACCTCTGGTCTTATTTGACGAGCACGTATCATCAGAATGATTGACAGTTGGGAGCACCAATAGCCTTGATGATCCACCCGGAACTTGTCCCCAACTTGTCTCCTTGTTCCAAATAAATAAATACGGAGCCTCCACCGCAGCAGAAACACGGGAAACCAAAGTGTTCATAACGTCCTCTTTGGGAACACTTACATTTGTTTCATTTATGTTTGTCACCAAATCTAACAACTCATTTATCAAAGTGTCCGCAAGTTTCCTCTGTGTCTTGCAGCTGAAGTGAAATGGCGTCCCCTGGTGGCTGAACAAGCGAACTACATCATTAAGGCAAACATGAATGGTGTTAACGCTTTTACTCACAGCATACGTGAAGGAACAATTTAATCTTGGTTTTAATAAACACTGGACACGTGTACGTCACAGTATGTTGTTGTTTCTCCAGCTCATTTGGTTCTTAACATGAACAAGGCCTGGGAAAATCATTTACATGTATGTTTTTCTCTGTAATCTGTTTTTTTTTCTGATGTCACATTTTCAACCAGTAAAGACATAGCTCGCCTTCAAACAGCCTGTGGATGGAGTTTGCAGTTTTTCCGTGTCTGCGTATGATTTCCTCCGGGTGCTCCAGTTTCACCACTATAAATCATGTAAAGGTCTGGGATGTGCCTCCTATAGAGATGAGATGTACTTTATAGGCGACATCTTTGGGGAATGGGAGACAAATACACACAACAAATGTAAAGCTGTGATCTGTGAAATGTGCTATATAAATAACTTACTATTAAATTACTTAATCGTACCTAATTAAATTAGTAATCTTTCTGGTCTGTCCTTAAAACAGGGTTGCGTTTACATCGCTTTATGCCCTGGTTCCTCCTCCACTGGTCCCACTCCTGTTTTATGGTTGTGTATCATTGCAATAAAAACAAAATCAACAACATATAAAAGTGTGATTTGGTCTGAAATTGCAAATGCAAATGAGAAGGCTAAAGAATGATAGAAACTCGAGCTTCACCGCCGCCAGCTCTCTCAAATAAGCAACTTTTAATGTTTAAGAGGAAAGCTTAATTGTCCATACATGGCCATTTACCCGCACACCGCCACAGGGCTGAGCCGCCGCGGAACCAGGCGCAGAATTACACACTGCATTACCCACGATTCATAGCGTGTATTAACGCTGCTAATTTCATGCATATGGATACAGTGGGTCTTAGTGGGGGGCTCATTATTGCTCCCAAACTAATTTCACAATCATTAGTTTTGGAGCCTGAGTGACTGACAGAAAGAATTTACCCAAACTGTAAAATGAAAGTTTAGAAGCTTTGAGAAGTGCGTTTTTGAGAGGACAACAAAACAATGTAAACTAATACTGACGTTAATGCGCATGCGTGGACTCTGTCTGGACAGTTTTACACAAGTTTATATAATTTAGAATTACAGAAATAAACGCATTTCAGTTTAACGTTGAACAGTACTTGTTTAAAAATGTTTAGATATTTTGAACCTTTGAAAAATGGGTGCAGTAACTGTGTGGAACCACCAGATGGCAGTGTGCTACTCACTATAAAGAGCAAAGAGCGACAAAAACTGAATTTATTTTGAAGCTTTATTAATTAAATAAAACTCATAATGACATTTGATCAGCACAAATTAAAGTGTCGTGTCATTGCCCAGGGTCACCTCTGTTGAAAAATAATCTATATTTAACAGATTTAGTTACAACACAATCTATAAAATAATTACACGTTTTTAATTCAATGTTTAACCCTTTTTTGTTGGATATTACACTCAACAAATGTAATGACAGTAAATCAGAGCAACAGAATCAGCAACAAGACAAGGCGCGACATTTAAAGGCCGATTAGAACGCTGTAAGTTCCACCAATTTAAATATGTTTATTTCAGCATCACGTTTACAATGAAGCAGTAATGATTAAAGTCAGAGGATTGTGTTTGTTATTGCATTTCCTGCGTTCGAACCGATTCTCTAATCTGTTATTGGTGAATCGACAACCTTGTAACATCCTCCGAGACGACGGCTGCTGAGATTTAGGCCGAGGCACAAAAACATTGAATCTGCAAATGATGTAAGTTTGCTTCAACAGAAAGTGTTCCTCGATGATGAATAAAAACAGGAGAAAACGACAAATATCACAAAGTAAATCCACAAAAACATACAATTTAAAAGTGTTATTTTGTGTAATATTTTATCTACAAATCTTGATTGATTTCTCCTCACTGGACGGACTCTTCGATCTCTTCAACTCAGGCCACATCTCGTGTTTTGTATTTGTTAATTTAAAACAGTCCATGGTTCTTCTTCTGCGGTTTTCAAACGAGGAGTAGAATCTCAGGACGGGGCTAAAGCTAGCTTTCTTCTCCTGAGGATAAACTTTCTATTTCGTCATTGTCGCCTCCAATGGCCATCCAAAAAGCCTTTGCTACCTACACACGAACAACCCACGAAATAATTAATGGTTTGTTTATGTATATATTTCCCAAAACACTGCAAAAACTGATCAAATTTGAGGTAATCGTTGCATAAAATCGAGTGTTTTTTTTAATGTTATTTTAAGTTCATTCTGATTGGCCAATGGGACAAAGCTATTTAGTCTTATTTCTTATATCTTTTCAAAACAAGATATTTTAGTTTTGTCCCATTGTTTTAAGAATGTGCTCAGATTAAGACACTTTTGCCAAATTTGAGCATTTTTTGACTTATTTTCATCTCTTTTAGCAAAATGAGCCTGGATACTTACTCTCTCTGCGTGGACTTTGCGTTGGTCGTGAGGTAACGACGACGCCTTGTCTGTGAGTAAAACAACGCACACGTTAGCTCTCCTTTCTGGTGAAATAGTTTGATTTTTTTGCTCGATATTAAAATCACCTTTCATCTCTTTTAGTTTTGTGAAAAGACGCTCAAAGTTATCGACGTCTGCGTTTCCGGCGGTGAGATCGGCGAGTTCCTGGATGTCCAAATCTGTCATGGCGTCTGTGATAAACATGATACAAACATGATTCAAACGCATGTGTGAAAAGAACAGGTGTTAGCTCACTCACCGACCACAGCGCCCTCCTGAGCGGCAGATTTCTCACTTTCCTTTTGCTGAAGCTGCTCCTCATCAGCCGGGGGTAGATTTGAGAGCTACAAACAAAACCATTACAACAATAAAACTACATAAAAACAAACTAAACTGTTGTTAGTCATGTGAGCTCGAGACTCTTAACGTTTCCTCGAGCTGCTTCTCTTATATGTTGTAATTTCTGGACGACAAACCACTACTTCTTTCCTTTGATCCCTGAGGCTTATATAGTGATGTGCATTTTGATGTAGTAGAGTTAGTTTGTTGTTACTGTCAAAACAAAGGAAGGTGAAGGATCCATGGAAGCTAACGGTGAAGGATCCATGGAAGCTAACGGTGAAGGATCCATGGAAGCTAACGGTGAATAATAAATGAATATTTCAGTAGCTAATCCATCCATCCCTTTTCTTCCCCCTAATCAATTTCTGGGTTTCAGTGCTGCACCCAGTCCACAGAGCACCAGCCCCTCACTGATCCTCCTGCAGGTGGTGAGTCCACAGGAGCCTTGAACTTCCAGTGGGGGCTTCAGGCAAAGTGGGGTTAAGTGTCTTGCCCAAGGACACAACGACAGCCATTGTCAGTGGACGCGAACCCACTACCTTCAGGCCCAAAGGCCAATGCTCTACCAACTGAGCCACTGTCGCCCCAAACTTTCAGTAGCTAATGAGGATCTAAATAAAAACAAACAAACCTCGTCATTCATGAAATCATGTTGTGTCCAGTTCAAACAGTCGTCTCGCTGCTACATCACAACATGAAAACCTGAGGCTTATGTTCAGGTGCGGCTTATCTGCAGACATGTTGTACTTAAATGTTGCCGGTTGCGGCTTATAGTCCAGAAAGTACAGTATTTGCTGCGAAGGAACTAGGAAAGAAAACTAGTGTTGTGTCTGTAATCCGACATATTCACATGTGTTTCATAAAAAAATAAAAAAATGTTGAAGTGAACGCACAGAAGGCTCCGCGCTGCTCCGAGGACCGTTGTGTCTCGCTGCCACCGCCATCAAGCTGCTCATGAGGCCGAGCCCTTGACCGTTCTCTACGAGACAAGTCCAGATTGAAGGAAGTGCAAACAACACAACAACATTACATTAAACTTGAATCTCACCGTTTTTCATCTCTACGTTGGACCAGACGTTAGCGTTCAGGGCTTGGACAATACGCTTCACTCCTGTAGATTCTGGAAAGTCATCTTCCCCGAGAGAAAGACAAAGTCACTTTTACCATTCCTTAAATTCACGTATTGATAAACAGTAAGACAGAGCCATCGTTTTGACTGCTCCTGTTCAAACCAATGGAATTTTGGGAAATTCTCCATAAAAGTTTAGGTTTTCCACCAGGTTTATTTAAATGTATTAAGTACTAAATGAAAAACAGTTGAAAGACTAAATACCATCTGCATTTAGTCCATCTGCTGGAAAGTAAATTGGTCGAAAGCCAAGCAGACTCTGCTCAGAACCAGTCAAGGACCAAAGCTAGTCCAGGACCAAAGCTAGTCCAGGACCAAAGCTAGTCCAGGACCAAAGCTAGTCCAGGACCAAAGCTAGTCCAGGACCAAAGCTAGTCCAGGACCAAAGCTAGTCCAGGACCAAAGCTAGTCCAGGACCAAAGCTAGTCCAGGACCAAAGCTAGTCCAGGACCAAAGCTAGTCCAGGACCAAAGCTAGACCAGGACCAAAGCTAGACCAGGACCAAAGCTAGACCAGGACCAAAACTTGACCAGGACCAAAACTAGACCAGGACCAAAGCTAGACCAGGACCAAAGCTAGACCAGGACCAAAGCTAGACCAGGACCAAAGCTAGACCAGGACCAAAGCTAGACCAGGACCAAAGCTAGGCCAGGACCAAAGCTAGGCCAGGACCAAAGCTAGGCCAGGACCAAAGCTAGACCAGGACCAAAGCTAGACCAGGACCAAAACTAGACCAGGACCAAAGCTAGTCCAGGACCAAAGCTAGTCCAGGACCAAAGCTAGTCCAGGACCAAAGCTAGACCAGGACCAAAGCTAGACCAGGACCAAAACTAGACCAGGACCAAAGCTAGACCAGGACCAAAGCTAGACCAGGACCAAAGCTAGACCAGGACCAAAACTAGACCAGGACCAAAGCTAGACCAGGACCAAAGCTAGTCCAGGACCAAAGCTAGTCCAGGACCAAAGCTAGTCTTGGACCAAAACTATTACAGGAAAAGAACTAGTCCAGAAGCAGTCCAAAACAGCACAACTCACATTTCAAAAATTAAAGATAATTTCCAAAAAATAATGACATAAACGACATAGAAACAGAAACATTCAAAGTTATGAAGACAAAACTAAAAAGTTGCTCTGGTGTTAATCCTGAGGCCTTACCCTCCTCGTCGGGGAGATCCTGGGGGTTCAGCTCGATCAGTTCAAAAGAATGAGACAAACACCACTGCTGCGCTTCATGTCTCGTCACCCCTGAAGCCAAAGCATCAAGAATAAGAATAATTATGACACAGATCTGCGTCCTACAGCATCAGAAACGCACCATTTTCACAAACTTTGTCACAGACTAAGATTAAAACTTCTGGAGCGATCTCTTCAACCACTGAAATCCACGGTTTCAACTTCTCTAGTCCTTCTTTCTGCAAAATAGAAAAACACACAAAGTTAATTTTAGACATGAAAGAGAAGGTGGGGATGCTACATGTATCGCACTTACGTCTGAACTGTCAAAATAAGCGATGAAAGCTTGCGTCGCCTGGAAAATCTCGAATGTCATATGGAACGTACTGGGGACGGCGCATAAAGATACTTCTGCTGTGTAGTATTTGTTGTTGATGGTCCACGGATACCAGACTACACCTTTGTCCGTTTTTGTGGGCTCAGGCAAAGTATTTGAATTCAGAATCTCTATGAAAAAAATACATGATTAATTACGTTGTAACAATAAAACAGCATTATAGATATAAAAATCAGCTCTATAGACCCGTTTCTACCAGCCCTACTTGGCCCTACTCTACACGGCTCTAATCTACCTGGTTGCGTTTCCATTACGCCTTATTATCTGGGACCATATCCTAGAGACCAAACCACAACAAACCAGTATCCAGGAAAATTCCTTGGTAGCCATGGCTTCCAGAAGCACTCAGAATGATGTTTTTTACATTAGTCTAAGAATATATGATTTTTGAAGAAGAGTAGACCCAAGAAGATTAGACCCGAGTAGATGAGACCCAAGTAGAGGAGAGCCAAGTAGACCCAAGTAGATGAGACCCAAGAAGAAGAGAGCCGAGTAGACCCAAGTAGATGAGACCCAAGAAGAAGAGAGCCGAGTAGACCCAAGTAGGGCTGGTGGAAACGGGGCTTTTGTCAGGTCACTCATCCGATTAAGCAAGAACAAACGACATTGACAAAACAAACGTATACATAAAAATAATCCATCCAAAAATAAGGAATATGCCTGGACATCATCAAGGATACAAGTATGTCTCTGGAATGACATACACACAGGGAATACTGTACATACGCTTTACTAAGTCATCTTCTTTAAACGTGTCATCGGAGCTGGTGATGAGGACACATGGGTCCGCCAAGGACGTGTTTTCTTCTGTGTCTGACATCCTCACACAACAGCGGGATTTATGATAACATCTGGAACAAGTCTGTAGCAGAGAGATTAGCCGCCTAGCCTTAGCATCAACAACCTTTCAACTCGCTAGTTTCTTACCTCACTTCCGGTTTTTGAAATGAAATGAAATAAAACAAATAAAACACACGATTTAAAATAGCTATCACGGAATACAATATTATCTATTATGCCGTTTTAAAACAGTAAATAAAAGCATCTGCTTTGTGTGTTAGCATTACAGCCTATGTTTAGCTTACACATTTTATTTTTATGTAATTTATATTTTGTATGATTTTGTCTCTTATGAATATATTATGTAGGGTACCAGTTTTTCTGTATTGATAATAATAATAAAGACGTGTATTAAAAAAAATACAATAAATAACATAAATACAAAATATATTGGTGAGCTCAAAGACGCGGTTGTACCAGTATAAAGTTTGAAGAAAGGAAAATTTGGACAAATTCATCAAAAAAAAATATATTTTTTGATGATTTTGTCCAAATTTTCCCTTCAAAGCTTCTGAACTTTGTTGTCATGGTAACCACTTTGACAAACTTGGGCGCGAAGGGCGGAGGCTGTGACTGATTTTGAACCATCTTTTTTATGATTTATTCGTTATCAAATGCCTTTTACGAGTAAAAACGAGGAGCATGCAGGGGCAGCGTTAGTACAGGTGCTTAGAACATAAGTTTACAAACTATTTCCTTGTGGCTCTGCTAAGCTAGCTGTGTGTGATGTCACATGTTTTATGTCTTTCCCAGGTTCAAGATGATCTGCGTCAACTCAAATGCGATCTCCAGAAACTCAATGACACTGGGATGGGAAAATCATTAGACTTTACAGAATTGGAGACAGTTATTCACAAGACAGAGCATGAAATAAAGGTATACGTTTTTGTTGTGTAAATACTAAATAATAGTCAAAAATGTACAGAGCAAACGTGTAGAACGAGCCTAATCACGTTCTTGTGAACAGAAACGTGCTGAAGATTACCTGAAAACAGTGAATAGCAGGCTTCTGGTTCATCCAAATATTGAAAACACTTTACAGAGTAAAGGATCTGTGCCTAAATGGTAGGGCATCTTGAATATTTTGTTTTTGCAAATATTTAATTTCATGTGATTAAAAGAGAGAGATTTTTTACACAGGGAACCACAACTGAAATGTTTACCAGACTTGCGCCCTCAAAGGCATCGCCATCCACAGTCACTGGATCGAAAGGTGCGTGTAATAATGTAGTGTTGTGCGTAATAATGTATTGTTAACTTTGTAAGTCAGATTCTTTGACCCTCCTAGAGGGTCAAAGAATCTGACCTTTTACTTATTTCAATCACTGTCGAAATTCATAATGTTGTAAAGTAGGCGTAACAGGCAGCTTCATGCTCAGCCATTGTTTATTGTAATGGGAAGATTTATTGTTACAAATGTGATTGGGAAGTTTAGTGGCTTGTGGTAACATGATGAACTGGCAGTGTCTCTTTTTATTGAGTATGTCACTTAAAGAGGTTAACGAAAAGTATGAGGCGGCCTAAAGGTCAGCCAGCTTAGTGATGACAGCTTGCACCTGTCAAAAGTAACACATTCATCTTCGCAAAGGTCAGCATCAATTTCACCAATGTTTTACACACATTCTTTCAGTGTTGTTTTGTGATTTTGTTCCACAAGAAACAAAGGCTGGACTGTCACCCAGATTCCGGAGAGATGGAAGTGCTGGCCACAGAAGCAGAAAGTAGCAGATTGCGGCACATCAGCATTCTTGTAAAGAAAGTGGTGCCTGATTGCTGTGCTATGGGCTGCTGGTTTACAGCTGTCTCTGGACAGAAGCACTACCTGCTCCAGCATGCCAATAAGACAGCCGGAGCCGCACTGGCTCTGTGCCCGCCGCTCAGGCCAGCTCCACTCTATGCCCACGCCAGACAATGAGCTTCTGCATTCTAGCGATTTTACAAAGGCTACCACCTTTTCCAAAGCTGCTTGAGACAGATGTGTGCCTTTGAGGGGGACTGGTAGCACCTGGCCCTACCTGTGGTCTGTCAGAGAGCTCAGTGGGCTGAGGAGGATGGAGCCCAGAGTTTAGTTCAACTAATCTACAAGAACATGGAGTAATTTCAGCTTTTCAGACGAGAAACAGAACAATCATATGCGCTAGTGTAATGTTATGATTGATAATCCTGAAATCTAAATGTAAGACAAATATGGACATTAGATACAAAATAATTCATTCTATTGTTTACAGATGAGTATTGAGTTGCACTTCTTCTTTGTCTGTATTTTTCATAAACAGCTGTTTTCTCATGGAGATTAGAGCCACTTTAGTTCACATTTGGTTTAATCTACTTATGGAAGCATAGGAATGTAAGAAACTAAAGTAATGGTTTAGAGCTGGTAGATATGGTAGTATTCAGAAGGTCAAGTTTTCAAATGTTGGGAGTCAAATTATTTTAGTGATACTTGAAATGTTTGAGAACCACTGGTCTGGTGTGTTTGACATTCTCTTGATCTGATTTCAGTCCAAACTCGGTGGTCCGTCTGCCCTAGTGGGAAGCATTCCAACCTGTAAGAGTGAAAGAGGAGGTATGTCCACTAAATGTCGCCTCTGACAATACAGGGTTTCAAGTGCTCATATTTTCCAGGACACAGAGCAGGACAACTGCAGGACTTGAAATGCTCCAAGACAGGTGTGTTTCAGATTATTGCAGTTTTTCAGCAGTTCATCTTTCTGTCCTTTTACTCTTATCACTTGTTTGAGTCAAAGCACATTACTTCTGATTCTGATGTTTAATTTATGTTAGTGACATCAGGAAAAAGAGCAGTGGAGTTCAAGTTTGCCAAGACACTACACTGTGAAATTGGGCCCATCCCTAAAGTGACCAGTCCACCTGCAGCCAAGACCCCTCCTCCCTCCACCTCCAACACAGACCTCCCACAGAAGGAGAGCGTCTCAAAAGTCAGGCCTGTGTTGTCTTATTGTCTACACCAGTGTCTATACCAACCTTTTTCTGCCGTGGCACCATTTTCATTGAAGAAAATCTCACGGTACACCACCAGCTAAAACTGACTCTGCAGTTCTTAATTATAAAGAAAAGAAATTGCGGCACACTGGTTGAAAAACACTGGTCTATACTGTACTATAACCAAAGAGAGATATTATAACTTACTTTTTATTTGGTTTTATAGAGTTTGTCTGAAGCCTCCCCTGAAAATATCATGAAGCAGACTTTTACAATTAAACACGGTGTTCTCAAAGCGTCAGATGAGGAGGTTTTGAAGGAGCACTACAGCCTTTGCTGGAGCCGTGTGGACCGCGCTCTGGGCTTCCTGTGCCAACTGCTGCGAGCATATGCTGTGCCAGTGGCAGTGGTGAAGGGGGAGCAGCTCGTGGCGTTCGCTCGCAGCTGGGAGCGTGAGTGGCGAGCGACTCCTCCAGTCAGCAGCCTCCTCTCTGTGCTGCACAATCAGGACGATGTTCTGGAAGTGCTGTCACGTCCAGGTCAACGCTTCAAAGCAGAGGGAGGCGTTGATGCTGCTGCAGTGTGTATTCAGTCCTGCTGGAGGCGCTACACCGCTCGCTCTGCCTACCTGCGCCACTGCAGACGTAAGTGGGCGGTGGGCACCATCTCTTTGGCCTGGCTCATGCGCGCTCAGAGGCGTCGCGTGAGGAAGGCCCTGCAAGCCCGAAGGTTCAGCCAGTTACAGAACCAGCGGCAGAGAGCACAGGTGAAAGACTCCTTCAACCTTTACGCACCATAAAGTAGCATTCAAGGCCAAACTGTGGTTGTAACACGCTTCTGTCAGCGTGCCCCAGGGCAGCTTTGGCTACAGTAGTAGTTTATCACCACTGTGTATGGAGTGAATAAATAATAATAACACTCAAAATGTCTTTGAGTGTCCAAAAAAGGCGTTGTATTAAACCATGTATTATTAATTCGATTCAATTTAATTTAATTTTTGTAATAATCAAACCTGGGTGCAGCTGAACTTTAGCCTCGCCTACATGACATTTCAGCAAGTATCATTTACTGCAGCAGATTTGGCATCAACAGATCAGAGAATCAAACTGTTCTAACACAGGAAATGTTGGTCCAGAGGGAGCGGGAAGAACAATGTTCAGAAATGTTCATAAAGATCCATAAATCTCTTTAAATGTCCTGGATCAGTTTATTCATCACTCATCATTTTAAATCTTTGATTAGGTGTTTAAAAAAAAACATCCTGGCTCTGGAGTTGAACATGGTTTTAAAAGACAAATGGGATTTTGTTACAAACTAAAAAATGACACATTAATGATTTGGATTCAGTCAGACAGTAACAGTTTAAATAACGTGTCAAAGCAGTTGCTGGAATGTGAAGGTTTTGTTGAAGAGCTGCTTTGTTTTCTTTGTCTCTGGCTTTTTAAATATAATAATACAAATAATGAACTAACAGAGATGGCACTCATTTGTTTGAGTCCATATGTGTGTTCTGTTGTTTCCTCTAATTATTCAAATTTGTGACAACTGGTTAATTTGTTTTTACCCGCACCTGTTTTCATGTTCTATATGTACGTCTTCTGTTCAAACACTCACACCGACTTAATTAAGCCTGCTAATCTTCGCCGCCTGTAGCCTCATGTACCTTTGTGATAGATTTAATTGTGAGAAGATGTTTTGTAAAGTAATAGCCTAATTTAATTAAACTGATGTGCTATGCTTGGTTTGCCGCGGTTCGCCCTGAGAGGGAGAGAGCGAGCAAACACGCAGCCATGATTTGTGTGATCTGTCTCTGATCACTTCTCCTCTTCCCTCACAGCATCTGGCAGCCAACTGGAACCACATCCGGGCCTCCAAGAGAACTATTATCCATGTCCCGTCATTAGGTAGGTCTCATCCAGCCCCTGCCTCTAAAGGAGCAGGGGCTGTGGCCTTCTGCCCCCATCCGCATCCTCTAAATGAGTTTCCCAGCGTGATGGGTCCCTAACCCAGCAACACAACAATTACACCCCAATAGCCGTCTAATTTGTAGATTAGGCAAATGAAAAGCGATTATGTAGAATATTTTCGCAGGGACTCAGAGGTCTTTTTAATAGCTGCGCTCTCAGACAGGGACCTCACGCTATGATCCGTTCTTGTTCTAATTTCACTGCAGCGAGCACATTTAGACTGTAATCAGGCATTGTAAATCATCGAACGATTGTCTAAAATTATTAAGCCTAATTACTGGCAGATGGAATGCTTTATTTGCACTCGGGGTGGCTACAGAGAGTGCTGTGTGAACAAGGATAATTAGAAAGTTGAACCCCATTGTTGTTAATTAGCATGAATCCAATCATTTAATTACCTTGATTCAGCTGAGGATTCTCCGTCAGACCCAAATCCTGGCACTCGCAAACCCAACGCAGTCGTAGTGGACCTTACACCAGTCTGCCACCTGCTAGTTACTGGGATAAATGAACTATAAGCTTCCCCTATGGAATGGTCACAATACTGTTAACTCTCCTCTGTGTGTGTGCGTATGTGTGTGCGTGTGCGTGCGTATGTGTGTGTGTGTGCAGAGTTTCAACCATTAAAAAGATGTTTTTCGTGACCTTGTTCTTTCAGGTTATTCTCAGAATCAGAGACGCAGCTTGAGGGACTTTGAAATGGTCCAGAACATGCAGATAGGAAGGCTGTGTGAAATAAGAGGTAGCAACTGTGTGTGTGTGTGTGTTCCCTTTGATATGGGAAAAGCTTCACATTCATGTTTGTGGAATTGACATAAACGTACAGAAGTAGCTATTTTTATCAGCAGAAACTTTAAGTGACATTTATACTTACTTTATTCTTTTACATTAAAAACATTCAAATTAAGGTCAAAAGTATCATCAATCAGATATGAATTGTTCCTCAAACTAGCACTAAAACTGGTGCTAAAACTATTATTTCAGGAAGTAAAGATAAAAAGAACTCAATGTGAGATCAGTTTTTGAAAGTTTTTAATCTATAGATAAAATAGTATAAAAAAATATAATCCTTGCGATAGTTCTGTAATTTTTTATTGTTATTTATTTCAAACACTTATTTTCACATATATCATTATAACACACACAAAAAGTACACAGTCAAAGCAAAGACTTATTTTATTCCAATTCCCGGCCACACACATACACACACATACACACACACACACACACACACACACACATACATGCCCATACATGTCACACACACACACACACAAACACACACATATGCATACACACACATACACACATACATGCCCATACATGTCACACACACACACACACATACACACACACACACAAACACACACATATGCACACACACACACACATACATGCCCATACATGTCACACACACACACACATACACACACACACACACATACATGCCCATACATGTCACACACACACACAAACACACACATATGCATACACACACACACACACATACATGCCCATACATGTCACACACACACACACACACACACATACACACACACAAACACACACATATGCACACACACACACACACACATACATGCCCATACATGTCACACACACACAAACACACACACACATGCCACATACATGTCACACACACACACACACACACACACATGTCTCTTTGTGATGAATTCTTAGTGTCATAATCCAGTTTATAGTTTCAGTAACACTAACATGTATCTCTGCACTGCCTCCATCTCCATCCCATGTCTCAGTTACTCCGTCTCTCTCTCGCAGATGAAAACGTTGAGGTGATCTACGTGTGTCCCGTGCACCTGGATGAAGACACACTGCAGTATTACACCCGTCTTTTAACTTGGAACCGAACCGAAGGGGCTCCCTCTTCAATCCCTCAGAACTCTTTGTCCAAATCACGTTTCATGATCCTTACTCCGGAGGCTGTTGACTACTTTCCAGTTGAGTTGTTGATACCATTATAGCTGACATTATTTAATTTCGTTTGAACATGTGCCGTCTGATCGCAACACAATTATGTAATATGTAAAATAGCCTCTAGAGGGTAGTAGAGTAGACTATTCAGAGTGTCTATGTCTATCTTTGCACATAAACCCCGGTCTATTCTCCTCAGCCCTCTCCAACCATTATGTTAAAGCACTTTTTCCTTTAGCTGTAAATTGATAGCACAACTTGACACACTCCCTCTCGTTTATGGACATAGATTTTCCCGCTGTTCGGTTGTTAAAGCGTTGCCAGACATGTTGCCGAGATGAATGGCTGCTCCTGTGGCTGGCAGCGAATTGTAGCAGTGACAGAAGGATAATTCCATGTGGATCAAATAAATACAGATGTGGAGTAATTAGTTGTATTCCCAAGGAGCTCATTGAAGCACACATTAGAGGAGTGAGGGATAGAGCCGCGTCCCACCGGCAGATCGTATCAATCCAACCTGGAGAGGTCACATCCCCGCTGGCACCTACCATCTCCGATCTGGTGTGTACACAGTGATAAATCAGCGGCAAAGTGTGTCCTCGCGCAAGGCCCTAATCAAATCCACCTCTAAACACCATACTTTACATTATGGAAGTCACTTTTGGTAAAAGGATTGGCCCACATTATCTCCTGTTGTTTTTGTGGAGAGAGAAAAGGTCCTGAAATCTAGCTCTTGATGGAATGATTGTGGCTCATATTTCCGCTTTCCAATAAAAAAAAACATTTCTGTTGCCAAAAAGTGCTAGTTTTTTCCGCAAAGCTATAAGCTGTAAACTGCAGTCTCTGGGAAAGGTGTCAAATGATTCCTGCTCATATTTCAGCTTTCCCACAATTGTTTTTTTATTTTTTTATTTTATTGATCTGATATTTCTGTTGCCAAAATGGTAAACAATATAATACTAATAATAATGATAATACATCTTTATTATGTATGGCACAAAAACAGTGTTTACAAATCTCTGCATAAAGAATTAAAACGGTCAAATCCAGTCATAATAAAATAAAGTCAAAATAATGAACAGTAGATACAGGGGAAAAAGCAGAGAGAAAGAACACGAGAAGAAAGACTTAAAAAAAGACAAAATGGAACAGTTTAAATCTAACAGATGTGAAAAGATTCTTGCTAATTTTTCAGCTTTCCCACAATTGTTTTTATTTTATTATATTTATCTGATATTTCTGTTGCCAAAAAGTGCCAGTTTTTACCACAAACCTCCAGCTCTCAACTGCAGTCTCTGGGGAAGGTGTGGAGAGGACGCCACAAGAATAGTATAAAGTATTGTATGGAATAGAATAGTTCATAGTACAAATTATGATGCTTCTGGTTACCATGGTGATAACATGTTTACGTTTCTTCTGATTTAAAGAGAAATGATTGATGATTGAAATGACCTAAAAAATCTTCACACAAAATATAGAGTTTCATATTTACATAAGGTTGAACTGCAGCTCCTACACACACACACACACGCACACACACACACACACACACACACACACACACACACACACACACACACACACACACACACACACACACACACACACGCACACACACACACGCACACACACGCACACACACACACTACTAATGCCTCCGACCATCACCCACAGTTAAATAACAAATGGCAGACATTCATTTGAAAATCTTCTGGATGTGTTTGTCAAATTACTATGATAATTTCTTGATAATTGAAAGTAACCAAAAAAATCTTCTCAAATGTACAGTGTGTAGTTTCATATTAATGTAGTTTTTAAACTAATTCAAAACACCTTCATTTTCTCAGGAAAAGTGACTTTCACTTCTGATCCTTGTTCATACGATAGATTCAATAACATCAGGTACATTCATTTGAATACCTAGCTCCAAACCATGTGTGTTGTCTCCCCTCAGTACCATGTGTGTTGTCTCCCCTCAGAGCCACACCATGTGCCTGTCCTCGCTGCTCAGCCACAGCCCCTGCTCCCTGCAGAGGATCCGGCACCTGATCCGGGGGAAGAGCTCGTTCCTGGTTCCCGGCGCGGTGCACGTGGATGACTTGGCCGTGGCGGACGCTCTCGGCGTGCCGCTGATGGGACCGGAGCCTGCGGCCGCGCAGCTGTACGGCACCAGGTCCGGAGCCAGGAAGATGTTTGCAGCAGCCGCCGTGGAGATGCCCCCTGGTGTCGAGGACGTCTACTCGCTCCACCAGGTTCAGGACCAGAGAGAGACCAGAAAGAGACTAGAGAGAGAGACCAGAGAGAGACCAGAGAGAGAGCAGAGAGAGAGACCAGAGAGAGAGCTGAGAGAGAGACCAGATAGAGACCAGAGAGAGATCAGAGAGAGACCAGAGAGAGACCAGAGAGAGACCAGAGAGAGAGACCAGAGAGAGACCAGAGAGAGAGCAGAGAGAGAGACCAGAGAGAGAGCAGAGAGAGACACCAGAGAGAGACCAGAGAGAGACCAGAGAGAGACCAGAGAGAGACCAGAGAGTGAGCAGAGAGAGAGCAGAGAGTGAGCAGAGAGAGAGACCAGAGAGAGAGCTGAGAGAGAGACCAGAGAGAGACCAGAGAGAGACCAGAGAGAGACCAGAGAGAGACCAGAGAGAGACCAGAGAGAGAGACCAGAGAGAGAGCAGAGAGAGAGACCAGAGAGAGACCAGAGAGACACCAGAGAGAGACCAGAGAGAGACCAGAGAGAGACCAGAGAGAGACCAGAGAGAGACCAGAGAGAGAGACCAGAGAGAGAGACCAGAGAGAGACCAGGGAGAGACCAGGGAGAGAGACCAGAGAGAGACAAGAGAGAGAGACCAGAGAGAGAGACTAGAGAGAGACCAGAGAGAGATCAGAGAGAGACTAGAGAGAGACCAGAGGGAGACCAGAGAGAGACCAACGAGAGACCAGAGAGAGACCAACGAGAGACCAGAGAGAGAGAGAAAAGAGAGACCATATAGAGTGAGAGAGACCAGCTTCAGTCTGACACTTTTAGAAACAGTCTGAACATGGCGTCGATGGTTCAGGCTGATCCCTGTGCCCCTGCAGCTTCATGAGTGTCTGGCTGAGCTCCTGGTGCAGAACCTGGACGTGACGCTGTGGTTGTTTAAGACGGACCGTGACCCGGGAGAAACCGCCGTGTGTGACGTGCGACACATGAAGAGCTTTGCATGGGCCCTGAGTCAGAGGCAGAGACACGGCCCAGACGCCTGGAGGAGCCCGGCCATCCAGGTACCAGCAGAACAGTAGAATGCACCATCCAAATGACCAATCAGAGGCAGGGTGGAAATGATAGTGTTTTTAATGATAATACAAATGTTCGAAAATGCAGAATCCATTAATCAGAATATGAATAATTTTTATCGCCATTTTTAACAAGTAGTCACAAACTCGGAAATTGCTCCCAGTGCAAGTTATACAAGTAAAAATAGAATAAAGGATGAAAGAAAAAATATACTGTACATAGCTTTTCTTAAAATAGACATAGAGAGATAGCTATATAGAGAGAAATTGATAGAGAGAAAGACAGAGATAGACAGATAGAAAGAGAGTTACAGATCTTGAGAGAGAAAGATATTTGTATAGTTAGATAGAGAGAGAGCTAGATAAAGAGAAAGAAAGCGGAGAGAGAGAGGGAGAGAGATAGGGTTAGGGTTAATAACGTTAATCAAATACAATGGATTCACCACAGTGTGTTGTATCATGCTTAGTAATTCAAACTAGAATAATGTGTGTTACAATAGCATCCCCAATACTCTAACATGTGTATTACATGAGTGTGGTGTGTTGAATTTAAAGTGGTATTTAATGACCTAATGACGCGCAGTAATCAGCAGATTCCTTTTATTGTTTGTCATTATCACAATTACTCACATTTATTTATTAAACGTGTGTAAAAATCAATCTGCCGCTCTCGCTCTCACGTGTTCAGTCTGAGATCCGACACGGGTCAATATTGTTAAAATGAACCCTGAAGTTACTCACATGAGGTCACAGAAGCATTATAAAAATCTGAGTTACAGGATCAATACTTTGGCCTCGTGCCCTGATGAGGACGTTTCACACAACCACTGCATTGTTCAGTTTTATGTTGAGAGGCTGTGATCTGGGGATGTTTAGATATTTACTTTCCGGAAGGTGAACCCCGTCTTCACCGTAGAGGTTTTGATTTCCTGTCATCTGTTAATTCGGGCGTTCTGCTCTCCCAAAATTCCATCCACTGAGCGGCGCTGTGATCAAAAAATGACACCGTTTGTTGCCCAGTTCACTTCCGGTTGATTTCATACAATGGCGAATATGGCTCACGAAAACAACAAGCGATTGACAGTGCCTGAATTGCGTGAAAGGTTGAAGCGAAAGGGTATTTGCAGTGTGGGAAAACGAAAGGAGGAATTGTTGTTGCTAGTTCAACGAGCGGATGGTGTTTATGAAGATTTAGAAGAAGATGACAGCGAGCAGAGTGAACGAAAACGGCTGTGTGTGCGAGTGACAGATGGTAACAATGAGAATGAAGTTCAGCTAAGAGGGAAGAATGTGAATTGGACGGATGATTTGCGCGATATGCCACTAGTTAGAGACGGGAATGTATTTGCATACAGAAAATGACGAAAACACTCAACCATTTAGAGAAAATGCGCCGGGCAGAGAGAACCGGAAGTTGCGAAGGCAAGTGTTACCCATAATGCAACGCAAAATTCAGTCGCTCCCCCGCCCATCGGATGGAATTTTGGGAGAGCAGAACGCCCGAATTACTGTGGTGTAACTAGGGGCTCTGTGTAAACTAATTAGAGCTTAACAACTTTGGACTCGGAACACGGACCTTGAGATTTCCTTCGGTTCCTCTCTCTTCTCTGATTAGTGCGAAACCTCTCCAGGAGCCTGCTGCATTTCTGCTTCTTTGTACGTGAGGCGAGGTCCTGCTGTAGTCGCGATGCAGTGTGTTAATTATGGCGGCGAATGGCTGAACCTCGGCCAAGGCCTGTAATTGTGGCAAAGCAGGGACATAAATGGGGTTTGTTTGAGCAGCTGGGGTCCTGTGGAGAGGGATGAGAGCCCAGGCCCCTGTGTGGTCCGCAGCCTCGGGGCCTAGGGGCCATATGGACACAACACTTTAACTGGCCTTTATTCTACACTAACTCTTTTAATCAAAGCACAGCGCTCTGCCTGTGTCTTTGTGCCTCTGTGTTTGCTCCGCTCTCAGACTGCTCACGACATGTGCTCTATATATTGACTAATTATGAAGCGAAGCTGTTAATTACATTCACAGATATGCATTTTTAATAGTCTCTCTAATATCTCTGCTCTTGGCTGAATGTCGAGAAGGATGTTCAAACATAAAAGTGTATTTTGAGCTATATTTCTCATTATTACTACTGCAGAAAAACAAGTCCTAATAGCTTTATGGCTCTCCGTGAAGAGAATAGATAACCTCCATTGATTCCATAACTCAGAGGCTTATGAACATTATAATCCCATGTATTAGTAATAAGATACAAATGCTTTATTTTATCTCAATCCATTATTCCTCTGTAGGTTTACTGTTTGTGTGTTATTGCTTTAAAAGTGCTTTACAGTGTAACGCAGAGACACACTTCTCAAAGCGACACACACTTTGTTAATTATTGCTTGTTTTAATATGCTCAGCGTGAGAGTGCGTCACATAAAAGCCATGTGTTTTGAGAATAATGCCTGCACTTACAAAAGCCTGAGTGGAAGCTGAAGAAAGAGGATCTCACTCCAAACACAGAGGTCTGCGTGTGCACGGGGCCTCAGCCCACAGCCACAATGCCCCGGGGCCTCTTTGAGCACTTACACAGAGAGAGGTTAAAGACATGTAGATCTGCAGTCATCGCCCGCGGCAACCCTTCACACAGCCGCACGGATCATTAGGCACAAGAGGGTCAAAATTACTCCTAATAGTGTCAACAGATGGACTTTTCTTTATCACGCTGTGTAGTGCCTCATCCACAGCACCACCTATTTCAGCTTAAATCAGTCCAGGAAATGGGTCATTTGATAATCCGTACAGGGGAAAATAAAGAAGGTGTTAGACAGATGTGGTGCCTCTAAGTATTGCTCATGTGGGGCTTAACTGTTGTGGCTGGTGCTAATTAAACCCGACGCTTTTTGACAAGAGCTTTGATTCCGTCCTTGTGAACCACTCGAGGTCAAGAGCCTCCGGTGCGCGGCAGACGGCCTCGTGCTTCAGTCAGCCACAAGCAAAACATTGTGAATAAGAACAAACAAACACCAAGAAAACAAGTCAAATTATCCGCCGCCGACACCAACCCAAGCTGCTTGTTTTTAAACTGGTCCATTGTGTACTATTCACAAGACTGACTCCACTTTCCACACGGATTCTTTGTGTAATGACGGCTTGAAATGGCAATCAAAGAGCTGGAGACACATATTTGTTATTTACGAGCTCACCGCCTGCTTTTATGTGGACGCCAAGCAAAGCATGAATCCCATCTTACTCCACTGTACACAGTTTAAGTCCAAATAATTTATGGCGAGACCCCTCTCTTCCTTGTCTCAGGGCCCTGCTGTTTCCTTCGCGGCGCTGAGGCAAAGTCCTGGGGTGAGACTGCTCTTCCGTTTAAAATGACAAGCGCCTCCTTTACACTTTTTGCCGCACCATTGTGTGCTTCATGGCTTGTGCAGGAGAATCGCTGTGGAGTGGTTGACCTCGCCTCTTCCAGTGCTTGAATATGATGATGGCTGTGTCATGACTGCAATATCAACAGCATAATCTGCAGCTCCAGCCCCAGCTCCAGCTCCAGCCCCAGCCCCAGCTCCAGCCCCAGCTCCAGCCAAGCACTGTGGTCTAAACATGGAACGCTCCCATCCGAGAAGAGCACTTTCCACTCTGTCTGGTTGCTCTGCTCTGTCTGCCCCCTTTGTGTCGTTTCTGAAAGTCTAGAGGAATTTAAATATTTGTGTAAAGTGTAAAAATCTCTAGCTTTAGCATAATAAAGAAGCTAGTATAAAATCTCTAACTTTAGCATAATAAAGAAGCTAGTATATAATCTCTAGCTTTAGCATAATAAGGATGCACTAAACACAAAATATATATTCATGTTCCGTGGCGTTAGTCAAAATATTACAATTTTAAACGCCATTTGTATGGAACATATACAAACATAAACACAATAGTATATTTCAGGTCAATGGCAGCAGAGACAGCAATAACCAGGATCAATATTCCATTCATTTAGCCTGAAAATACATCTTTCTTCAGTCACTAAAATAAACCTTCTAATGTCCTTATAGTACCCGTTTTCTGAATCTAATTTATTGATATTGAATGTAAAGGTAAGTCCAGATTTGTCCTATTTGCCTTTATCATATTTAAATACACTTCATATTATAGTCTCATTTATCCTGGCGGGTTTTCTTTCATATCATGTTTTAATTCACTGGTTTTTTGTGGCGAAGTGTGTCTACATTTCACCTATTTCTAATCAGCTCTTTGCACACGATTTCCACATCACAATTCAAGCATCTCTCCTGAAATACACACACACACACACACTAATGCTAACGCTGTGGCTCAAGGTGACAGCGCAGCTCATTAACCAAACTATTAGAACTAAAACAGGAGTGAGAAATGAGCAGCGTAATGAAGTGGCGAGGCTGCGGCGGCGTTCGCTGGTTACAGAAGCAGAGTGCGATTGATCCGGGCTGCTCGGCGATTGATCCGCAGACAGATGGCTTTAGGATCCAGCGCTGGTCGGTCGGAGCACTGTTATGGAGGGCAGGTGCCGTTTCCGTGTTCCCAGTCAAAGCCATTAGACTCCTGAGGCCGTGGGATAATGGGCTGTCAGTCACGGAGCCTCCGCCGCCCGCAGCCTGCAAGGATAACAGGCGTCCACAACACACAAGGCCACGCTCCTATAGGGATGTCGCCGTGTCACATTCTGAGGCTGTGCTTTTAGGATCCTCACAATTACAGATACTGAACCAGCTGCGAACTGAAAACCACAGAGATTACTACATACGCACGGCGAGTTTATTTGTTTACAGTTCAGACACAAGGAACTCAAAGTGCTGAACAAGACAAGATATAATCACACAAGACATAAACAATCACAGTTCAATAAAAAGATTAAAGATAAAATCCTTCAGTTGTTGAAGAAACAGAACTGTTTTTAACCTGTATTTGAACATTGTCAGAGAAGAAGTCTGTCTCACTTTTTTAGGAAGACTTTTTTTTAGATATCCAGATTTTAGCTAGATAAATCTGAAATGCTGCCTCCGCAGGAGGCCAGTCCCTGTGCTCCTCAGAGTCCCAGCAGGAGGCCAGTCCCTGTGCTCCTCAGAGTCCCAGCAGGAGGCCAGTCCCTGTGCTCCTCAGAGTCCCAGCAGGAGGCCAGTCCCTGTGCTCCTCAGAGTCCCAGCAGGAGGCCAGTCCCTGTGCTCCTCAGAGTTCCAGCAGGAGGCCAGTCCCTGTGCTCCTCAGAGTCCCAGCAGGAGGCCAGTCCCTGTGTTCCTCAGAGTCCCAGCAGGAGGCCAGTCCCTGTGCTCCTCAGAGTCCCAGCAGGAGGCCGGTCCCTGTGTTCCTCAGAGTCCCAGCAGGAGGCCAGTCCCTGTGCTCCTCAGAGTCCCAGCAGGAGGCCGGTCCCTGTGCTCCTCAGAGTCCCAGCAGGAGGCCGGTCCCTGTGTTCCTCAGAGTCCCAGCAGGAGGCCAGTCCCTGTGCTCCTCAGAGTCCCAGCAGGAGGCCAGTCCCTGTGCTCCTCAGAGTCCCAGCAGGAGGCCAGTCCCTGTGCTCCTCAGAGTCCCAGCAGGAGGCCAGTCCCTGTGTTCCTCAGAGTCCCAGCTGATTTCTATAACATTACATTACACACAACTTTCCATATTACTTTTTGGGTTTGGGTTTTTACACCTAAAGCTAAAGAAGCATTTACAGCTATGTGCTCTTATTCCTTCTGTTATGTACGATGCAACACTGACATTTCCCCACAGAGGCATGGATCTTGTCTTATCTCATATCTAAATGAATGTCAAATGTCTACAATCCTAGCATTCTTGTTATTCTTGTGAATTCTGTGTCCCCGATAGTGCTGCATATCTGCAAACAATTCATTCTTAATCTGTGGGTTTATAGACCTCTGCTCTGGCCCTCAGGAGACAGTGGTTCTGCGGTTCTTGGAGGAGGTCCCACTGTGGCTGTCCACTCACGCCTGTCCTGCTAAGACCTCCACACACTTCACCTGGACCGGCTTCCTGCAGACCTTTCTCAGAGAAGGTCAGAGTTCTCTCACAGACTCTCAATGCAATCCACCTGCCAGCTCTGGAACGGGAAGCCTGGCTTTAACGAGTCTGCACACAGAGCTGCTATTTCTAGGTTTAATGTCCAATTGCTCTTACTTATTTGGTAATGTAATATGGATCCTGGTCATTGTAGTCAAAGTACAGTACTACAGTAACTGTAGTAGTTTCATCACTAACAATCCTTATAATAAAACATGATCATATCATTTTAATGCTAAATACATGTTTGTGTACATTTTACAGAGGCCAGAGGCTCTCCCATGTTCAACCCACACTTTTATTTTTGGAGATTGGAGGTGCCACAGTGGGGCAGCCACGGCTATAAAGTGGCAAACTATTGTTTCTATATCTTGCCACAAGACACTATTGTTGTGTTCTGTTTCCAGACAGCAGAGGGAAAAAAACATCATTTGCCTTTCCTTAATTATTTTGTTCTTCAATGTTTTATTTTGTGTGTTTTGTAAAGCGTCTTTGAGTGTCCAAAAAAGTTCTATTATTATCATTATCATTATCATTATCATTATTATTACTTGTAGCGGCCAAAACTTGCCCTGTGCAAGGTCCGCTGGATGCAGTGTGTTGGCGTCTAGGACGCGTGTCTCTCACCATCCAAATAGAGCAAAATACTGTGTTCTACAATCCTTTATTGTTGCCAAGTACACAAATATAAAGCTGTGGTAACAAACAACGGTCGAAAGATGTTTGCCTCCACACTACAACACCTGTCTTTCATTAGTGCCCCACTTATATAGGGCATACTATCGAGGTGGCGCCACACAGTGGCAGGAGGCAGCAAAGGAAAACATAGGAAACTGGCTCCAACACACCGGCCCCTTAATTGTGAGAGCCAGGAGCTAAACAATTACAAATTCAAATAAACATGGAGCCATACTTTGACTTAGCAAGTTTGTCACATTGAGAACATATTTTTCAAAAAACACAAAATTTCTATGTCCACATATTCAAAGTCATTGTTCAATACACAGAAAATACATTTGGCATTTAATATCCATCCTGTTAAGTTTCATTATTCAAAACTATTTCCAGCGCTTTCTTTTGAAAGCTTTGCGCAACTTTAGCTTAAACATTTTGCTGGCTGAAAGCACATACAGAATCCAAAGACAGTTCACGAGAACAACAAAATCAAAATGAGTGTTTCTTACAAAAGCATTGTTGTGCTTGCTTTTACTACGCCACTGTGGCAGTGGAAAAATCCTGGTGTGACCATGTCTGGGCCACTGCAGGCCAGCTTCTGCTGCAGCAGGCCTCCCACTACAGGCTGCAAGGCAGTCAATAAGACAGGAACAGCAGAAGTTTCCTGCTCTTCATCCTCTGTACTGTCCATCTTTTTCCATGAGCATGTCTCAGTGTCCAAATCCAATGTCACCGTTCGCTCATGGTCCATAAGGGAAATCTCAAAGTCCTCCTGACGGTCTGGTGAAGATGAACAGTTCACATCAGCCATTTGTGTGGCACTACCGGCCCCTGTTGGCTCAAGCGCATCCACCAAAGTGGGAATGTAAACTGGTGGCTCCCAGTCAAATCCATCCCAGTCATCAGCGGTCCCAGTTGGCTCAAGTGAACCCACCAAAGTGGGTACATAAACTGGTGGCTCCCAGTTAAATCCATCCCAGTCATCATCAGTCCTAGTTTCTTTTATAACTGCAGGGACAGTTGTGGTTGGGACTTGTGTTTGCACCCTAGGCTCTATTGGAAGAGATTTATTTTTATGCCGATGCTTCTTTGAGGCATTCAACACTGCAAGTTTAGCTGTCACTTCAGCCATTTTAGTTTCAAATTCCAGCTCTTCCAATTGTCTCTTAATGGCTAGTTGCTTTGCTTCCAGTTCATATTTCTCTTCCAAAAATGACATTTTAGCTAGAAGCGCAGCTTGCTTAGCTTTTATTTTAACCAAAGCTGCAGCAGCTGAAGCTCTCTCTTTTTTGTCAGTTTTGTTCAAATCCCTGGTGCACATTTTTTACAGTGTTCCTTTTTACAGTGTCCACCTCACAGTCCATGTACCGCTCCTAAACGTGTAGTCTGTGCGGCCCTATGTCGCACACAGAAATCAGAACTGCTCACCACGCGTAGCCTTCTCCAAACGTGGTGCCAAGCTCCTCCGCGGGCCACTCCGCTGCAGGACAGTTTGCGCGCCGAGTCTTCCCTCGCCCGCGCTGGTGGTGGGGGACGCCGGTGCTCTCTCCGGTGTTTTTGCCCTTTCCTCCTTCCCGCCGACAGTCCGCCGGTTCGCCGCGCCCCTGTGGCAACGAGTCACCGCCACGGTAGTCGTGGGTCCACTCCTCTCCAGGAAACCGCGCTGTGCCAATCACAGCTGATGCAATCTTCACGCCCAGACGGTACCTGAGGCTATCTTTCGACAATGTAGCGGCCAAAACTTGCCCTGTGCAAGGTCCGCTGGATGCAGTGTGTTGGCGTCTAGGACGCGTGTCTCTCACCATCCAAATAGAGCAAAATACTGTGTTCTACAATCCTTTATTGTTGCCAAGTACACAAATATAAAGCTGTGGTAACAAACAACGGTCGAAAGATGTTTGCCTCCACACTACAACACCTGTCTTTCATTAGTGCCCCACTTATATAGGGCATACTATCGAGGTGGCGCCACACAGTGGCAGGAGGCAGCAAAGGAAAACATAGGAAACTGGCTCCAACATTACTATTATTGATCAATAGTAAAATAAATAATAAAATAACAAAATAACAAAAGTAGTTGTTTTTGTGACATGAGAAATCATCATTTGATATTATATTGATCCGTGGCACCACTTTTTATGTTCGTATAGTAGATACAGTATATATTTGTTATATTGGGAAAAAAACAAAATGATTGATCCAGCCACTCACCACTATCTTTGCTCATTCTTTTTATGTACAAATGTGCATTAGGCAAGAGACTTCCCCCACTTTAGAATGAGTCTGAGTCGCTTCAGTCAGTGTGCCCCAGGGCAGCTGTGGCTACAGTCGTAGTCACTGTGTTTGGAGTGAATGAATAATGCCACATGAAGCGCTGTATAAAACCGATCTAGATTCTGTTGATTTTCGCTAAATTCAACCCGAAACATTAGCACTCACTGACGTCTCCTTCCCTTGTTTTACCAGAGTTCTCCTTTTATCACCTGCAGCACTTTTGGCAGCTGCGGTGGTTTTAAATGTGCCTATAAATAAATATGACACGACTTGACACGGTGCCTGTTTATGTGGCGTCCTTGTGAAAGACACTTACAGCACCTTGTCTCCAGTGTACTGTATGTGTGTATATGTGTGTGTATGTGTGTATATGTGTGTGTACATGTGTGTATATGTGTGTATAATGTGTATCGAGTGTATAATGTGAGTGTCCAGTGGAGAAGAAGCTCATAAATGTGAGGCCGCACTCACATCGTCGAGCAAATACCCTGAAATATCTCTCTCCATGTCTTGTATATCTTGTGTTTTGGTATGTTGTGGTACCGGGGCCTTGTAAAACATTAGCCAAAAGGACAGAAGTATTGTCCCAGGCTACAGCAGGAGCTACTTTACATCTGTAGTCCCAGAGCCGGTTGATTTCACATAACAAGCCCCGTTTTTCCACCAGCCCTACTTGGTCCTACTCTACTCTACTCTGATTGGGAGCATTTTCACCAGGCCTGTTTAACTGGTACCAGGTCCTTCCTCAGTACTGGCTTGGCCTCGGTTTTAACCAGGTCAAGCTGGGACTAAAGTGTTCTATTGTTCTACTAGACTGGGTGGTTGTGGGGAAGTTGCTAGGATACAGTACTAAATACTAAAGCAAAATGGAAATGCAAGCTCGTAGAGTAGAGAAGAGTAGATTAGGGTCAAGTAGAGTAGAGCAGAGCAGAGTACAGCCAAGTAGAGTAGAGTAGGGCCAAGTATAGTAGAGTAGGTTAGGGACAAGTAGAGTAGAGTAGAGTCAAGTATAGTAGAGTAGGTTAGGGACAAGTAGAGTAGAGAAGGGCCAAGTATAATAGAGTAGGTTAAGGACAAGTAGAGTAGAGAAGGGCCAAGTATAATAGAGTAGGTTAGGGACAAGTAGAGTAGAGAAGGGCCAAGTAGGGCTGGGGGAAATGGGACTATAATAGATGGATTGACAATACATACATTATCAGATAAAAGATAGACAGATAGACACAACATCATAAATAAAGATAAAAGTAAAGATACAATCCCTCAGATGCTAATACTTTTGTTTCTGTTTGACACTGATGGAAAATTTAAGTTATATTCCATCTAAAAACTCTCTGTACCAAAGATTCTGTGTTTTTGCAGGCGGTGTGGTGCAGGCCTACCCGCCCTCGTACAGCTCCTGGGTGACTGTGGACCTTCTGCTGGAGCCAGATGGACGGGTCTCCATGTTGTCCTGTGGAGACCAGCTGCTGAGCTCTGATGGTCTGGACTTCCTGGGCTCCTGTGTCCCTCAAAGATCCCTGAGTCCAGACAGTCTCGGGTCTCTCTGCACTCGTGTGGGACGGGCCTGTCTGCAGAAGGGCCTCGTCGGACACGTCTCCCTCGACCTGGTCAGCTTCACTCAGGGCGCCTCCAAAGAGCACAAGGTTAGTCACACAAGGAGTATTTTAGAAATGTTAGATACATGTATATATACGATTTCATAGACTGAACACTCTCAAACCCAGCTTTGACTTTGCTTTACAAAATATTAGCAGCATGAGGGTAAAGTCGAGTATTTAGACTAGCTTCTTTATTACGCTACAGTTAGAGTTTTATACTAGCTTCTTTATTATGCTAAAGCTAGAGATTTTAAACTTGCTTCTTTATTATGCTAAAGCTGGAAAATTTTGTTTTAGGGCAGTCCAAATGTGCTAAAATTATTTTTTTTCATCACTTTTTACAGTGTAGAGTCCATACACACAGCAGCAGCTAGAATAATACAACTTCAAATGTACATTCATATCTTACAAAATGGGCGTGCTCACTGGAGATATGGAAGATTTCAGCCTCATTATGAACATGAAATAACTGAACAACCTCAGACCACAGCGAGCAGCTAAGTTTAACAATGCAAACAGTGTGATGTCCATCTAGATAACATCAATAGCAGTTGAGGCTAAAGGCTGCACGGTGCCCACACTGCTCCCCAGAGATCCACGGGACGGAGACAAACACTGTCTCTGATCCGTCTAGTAAAGTGTCAGCGCACATTGTGTCAGCGCACTTATCCACCATTTAAGACCTGCCCTTTCACCCCAAACAGTGAGCGATATCTCTCAGACAATAGGTCATTCCAAAGTGATTTAACCGCTGCACGAGGATGCCCCGTCGGTGGCTAACCCCGCCTCCTCTCGGCCAAACAGACACTAAAAACCACATCCCATTTGTCAGGGTTTCATTCTGCTGCAGCTGCGATCCACGACACGGAAGATAGGATTGTTTATGGCGGGTCACCTCTGCTCCGGACGTGTGACTACATTGACAGAGTATTGATCCAGGGGAAAGGAAAGAAATGAAACATAGCAGGTCTGATGCTATAGAAGTGGTGTGGATTAAGATGAAGAGATTAAGAGATGCTCTCTACGTCCCACGGCGAGGAAATGTCAGTGTTGCATCAGCAGTTACAGAACAGTAGGAATGAGGAGCACATGAGATACATGAACAACAACTCTATATTAAAATACAATAACATTTAGCTTTAGCATAATAAAGAAGCTAGTATAAAATCTCTAGCTTTAGCTTTAGCATAATAAAGAAGCTAGTATAAAATCTCTAGCTTTAGCATAATAAAGAAGCTAGTATAAAATCTCTAGCTTTAGCTTTAGCATAATGAAGAAGCTAGTATAAAATCTCTAGCATTAGCATAATAAAGAAGCTAGTATAAAATCTCTAGCTTTAGCATAATAAAGAAGCTAGTATAAAATCTCTAGCTTTAGCTTTAGCATAATAAAGAAGCTAGTATAAAATCTCTAGCTTTAGCATAATAAAGAAGCTAGTATAAAATCTCTAGCTTTAGCTTTAGCATAATAAAGAAGCTAGTATAAAATCTCTAGCTTTAGCATAATAAAGAAGCTAGTATAAAATATCTAGCTTTAGCATAATAAAGAAGCTAGTATAAAATCTCTAGCTTTAGCATAATAAAGAAGCTAGTATAAAATCTCCAACTTTAGCCCATTGAAACAAGTAAGAATTAAGTATAAAATCTCTGAACTCCAAAATCACATTGATCTCATTTGTTCCGTTGTGTCTTACATTTGTTGTTTGTTAGAAATGTTAATTACAGCAGCGGTTGAGAACTTTCTGTCACTATGGACCGTCGCTAATGCACCAGTAAATAACGTCAGGCTTTTCAAAGAGATTCTGTATTATTGTAAATGGAATGTTATACCTTCAGAAATGGTTCAGACAGACGTGTGTAGTGCATCCTCAAACCTTCACTGACCATATATTCTCCTCATATTTTTGGTAATTAAAAACCTTGTAGTATTTTGTTCATATTCAGAGATGCACTAAATAAAAGTAGACCACTATTCACTTGTGTTAATTATCTTTTCAGAAAAAAATACCGCAAGGACAGAAAGCGGCCTTCTACCAAAACTGTTAAAAAATGATATAATGAGGCCATCAAATCATTTTTTACTCACAATCTGGCCCAGACATGAAAGCTATTCAGAGAGTGTATAATTAAGCGCAGATCAGGACATTAAAGACACTACATTCCTGGCTATCCGCGACACAGACGGTCGGAGCTGTCTGCATTTAAACATCAATTTAGATTCAAACCTGTTGCTAAAAGCTCACTCTATGTGCTGTGCAGAAGTGGGTCACATATGTTTGCCCTTCAGTCTCTCGTCACATTGTGGACGACCGGGGCCCCAGCTGCGGCGTCAGGCTCTTTAATGAGAATGCGGCGCCATAGAAAACAGGTACAATCCAGGCTTACATTTCCCACAGCTTTGTTAAAGGCCACAATGGGACAGCGCCCGGCGGCTTTTAGAGAGACGCCTCCACAGAGAGAGTCTGTGAACGGGCCGGACGCAGGCTCTGAGCATACTGATGAACCGGGAGCATGGAGTAGCCACAGCTGCCCAGGGGTCTTTCTCTGGTGTCTCTCTGTGGTCTTTCTCTCTCTCTGGTCACTCTCTGGTCTCTCTCTGATCTCTCTCTCTATCTGGTCTCTCTCTGGTTTGTCTCTCTGGTATCTCTGCTCTCTCTCTCTCTCTGGTCTCTCTCTGGTCACTCTGCTCTCTCTCTCTGGTGTCTCTCTCAGGTCCCTCTCTGGTCACTCTCTGGTCTCTCTCTGGTCACTCTGCTCTCTCTCTCTATCTGGTCTCTCTCTGGTCTCTCTCTCAGGTCCCTCTCTGGTCACTCTCCTCTCTCACTCCCTGGTCACTCTCTGCTCTCTCTCTCTATCTGGTCTCCCTCTGATCTCTCTGGTCTCTCTCTGGTCTCTCTCTGATCTCTCTGGTCTCTCTCTGGTCACTCTGCTCTCTCTCTCTCTCTCTGGTCTCTCTACATTTCCCACAGTTTTGTTAAAGGCCAGAGAGACGCAGGCTCAGAGCATACTGATGAACCGTGGCATGTCCAGCCTATGGTCCAGTCAGGGTTTACACACACATATACAGTACATCACTTATAGTATAGCATATATATATATAGTTGTTTTCTCAGAGTACCTAACAAAGATGTCGAGTCACCAACACAGATCAGAGAATCAAACAGTTCTCACACAAGAGAAGCAATGATAACAAACGCATAGAGACATTTGTCCATAAGGGGCAGAGACCAAAATCCATAAATGTTTTGAATATGAAGTGTCCTGGATCATAATCACTGTCCTTAGATCCTCCTGCATCAGAGAGGGACAACTCTAAAAATCCCAAATCTTCATAAATACAGTTAAAAAACAAAGTTAAAAACTCCATATTTTGTATCAGATGGCAATCACCATAAACAGCAGATTTGTTCAATGAAGATGGATGTGTCTTTATATGTTATTGCTACATCATATTTTCTTTACATATTAAATGGCAAAACGTATACATTAGATTCATATTAGCATCTGCTAAAGCCGCCCGGGTCGCAGGCAGCACACACTGGTGGAGATGGAGCACCCAGTCACGCTCTTCCACGGCGACATTTGCATTTAGTGGCAGCAGCGTTTACTTTGACAAATAGGAAGCACACATGAAAAGCACTACTGCCACTTAGTTATTAACAAGTCCTTCCTCTGTGATTTATGTGGCACTTGTGAAGAGAGGGCACAGCTATTAGGTTATTATTGAGGAAATTAGCCCTTCTTAAGCAGAAGGCTACGACCGCACCTGACCCCTTAATATACTTATAATGACGCCATTTACTATACATATCTGAGCACTGTCTCCACGCATCGGACCGAAGCAAGAAGCTGAGAGCTGCTCGGAGGCTGGATCAGAGCATTTCGGGTAAATAGGTACCAATAAAACTCTGAGAAAGTGAGTTGAGTGATAGTGAGTCAGTTCAAAAGGGTTTTACCTTCGCTCACTTTCAATAAGTGCGAAAAACTTGTGAAAATAACTGAAATACAGCAAAAAAAACATCCATCCATCCATCCATCTTCTACCCTTTAATCCATTTCTGGGTCAGGGGGGTGGCAATCAGAGATGCCACCCAAGTCTCATAGCACCAGCCCCTCACTGACCCTCTGCAGGTGGTGAGTCCACAGGAGGACGGCTGCTCTCTGGCTGTGAGCATAGCCTTGATCTTTCAGTGGGGGCTTTGGGCAAAGTGGGGTTAAGTGTCTTGCCCAAGGACACAACGACAGCAGTCATCAATGGGAGTCGGTGGAGAAGGTGTAGAGGTGGGAATTGAACCCACGACCTTCAGGCCTGAAGGCCAATGCTCTACCAACTGAGCTAGTGTCGCCCCTACAAAAAAAACAGTTTAATGAAAAGTGACCAAATGCTAACTGCTAGCATGTAAACTCTGTGTTGCTATGGTAACTAGAACTTAATCTGTTCTGGTGGAAAACCAAGCTGACATTTCACCTTGGAGAAACTACTGACAGTTCAGAAGTAAAAGATAATTTCGCAAAAATAATGACACCGAAATACACTGCATTTAGAGACAGAAAAACACACAAATGTACATACGCCCAGTACTTACACTTTCAAAACTAAAAGCTGCCAAATTGACTTCTCTAGGAGCGTTAAGAAGAAAATAAAACCTCTGCAGTTCTTTTCCTGTCCACTTGACATAAAGAAGTACATGTGCTTCGGTTTCATATCATTGTGTTTGTCTCAACAGAAAGTCTTGCTAAAGTAACATTTGATCTTGTACATACTGAGAGCTGATTGGCTGACTCTGTCCTATTGAAAAAGCTGCTCTAAAGATGTGATAGAGGCCGACGATACCCGCATGTCAACAGTCACGCATGTTTCTGTAGATATGACAGATTCAGAGTTGTTCTTTGTCGATGCAGAATGATCTAAGGACAGTGATGATCCAGGACAGAATCTATGGATATTTTTACACATTTATGGACATTAATCACTGTCCCTTATGAACCAATGGCTTTTATAGTCCATAAGGGGCTGAGACCAATGTCCATAAATGTTGTTCAATGTTGAGTGTCTTGGATCATCCAACTGTTCTAATGTTAAAACCACCTGCATCAGAGAGGAACAACTCTAAAACCCAGTGTGCAAAGGTGAGAAACCCAGGGGAGGCCCACATTGAGAGAGGGATCCACTCCCACAGATGGACGGGCTCTAGATCCAGGACTCAGGCTTTAGATCCACGACTGAGGCTGTAGACCCAGGACTGAGGCTGTAGATCCAGGACTGAGGCTTTAGACCCAGGACTGAGGCTGTAGACCCAGGACTGAGGCTGTAGACTCAGGACTGAGGCTTTAGACCCAGGACTGAGGCTGTAGACCCAGGACTGAGGCTGTAGACTCAGGACTGAGGCTTTAGACCCAGGACTGAGGCTGTAGACCCAGGACTGAGGCTGTAGACCCAGGACTGAGGCTGTAGATCCAGGACTGAGGCTTTAGACCCAGGACTGAGGCTGTAGATCCAGGACTGTGGCTCTAGATCCAGGACTGAGGCTTTAGACCCAGAACTGAGGCTGTAGATCCAGGACTGAGGCTTAAGACCCAGGACTGAGGCTGTAGACCCAGGACTGAGGCTTTAGACCCAGTACTGATGCTGTATACCCAGGACTGAGGCTGTAGACCCAGGACTCAGGCTGTAGACCCAGGACTGAGGCTTTAGACCCAGGACTGAGGCTGTAGACCCAGGACTGAGACTGTAGACCCAGGACTCGGGCTACAATAAAAACACATACATTAGCTGTATGTGCATTATCTTAGCAAAGACATTACAATAGTTATTTTTTGTGTATTTTTTGACTGTTTTAAATCGCACGTCAACTTTCTTGTGCGGCGTCCAGCTGCGGTTTGCGTGTTTCGTTGTCGATGTTCGCAGCTCACAGAACTATCTTCCATTTACAGCAGATTCTTTTATTGAACAAAACAGCGTTACCTTGAAAAAAAAAACATGTTTTCTTTCCGTTAACGGCGTCACCTTTTGAAGTTGTGACCTTTGATCTCCGCGACCTGCTTTTCTCTGTGGAGTTACATTTACTGCCTTTGGATTGTCATTTACTGGTTTTTCTTTTATCTGGCAGCAGGTAGAATGTAAGATTAGAATAAAGATGCATCACTCTTCTTTTGAGTCAAAACGAACATTCTCGGCACAATTCAATCAATTCAACTTTATTACAGACTCTAGGTCCAATTTAAAACATACAGACAAGACAAAAATGAACCTGGACCAGTTCGAGAAAAAAACAAAAATCCACTTTTTGTATGTAAGTATGGAGCACCTGGAGCTTTTTGCATTATTCCCGCAGTCTCTTTCCCAGTGTCACGTGTCTCTGCTGTGAAAAGGGAATGGTTAAAACCCAACATGTGGCTTTTCTAGAGTCAAATTGACCCCTATCCCAGACACCAGCCACACCCTGCTCTATGTTAACAGTGGAACATATGCTACATGTCAGGAGCTGTGGTCAGGAGCTGTGGTCAGGAGCTGTATTCAGGAGCTGTAGTCAGGAGCTGTAGGCACGAGCTATAGTCAGGAGCTGTGGTCAGGAGCTGTGGTCAGGAGCTGTAGTCAGGAGCTGTAGTCAGGAGCTGTGGTCAGGAGCTGTGGTCAGGAGCTGTAGTCAGGAGCTGTAGTCAGGAGCTGTAGTCAGGAGCTGTAGTCGGAAGCTGTAGTCAGGAGCTGTGGTCAGGAGCTGTAGTCAGGAGCTGTAGTCAGGAGTTGTAGTCAGGAGCTGTGGTCAGGAGCTGTGGTCAGGAGCTGTAGTCAGGAGCTGTAGTCAGGAGCTGTAGTCGGAAGCTGTAGTCAGGAGCTGTGGTCAGGAGCTGTAGTCAGGAGCTGTAGTCAGGAGTTGTAGTCAGGAGCTGTGGTCAGGAGCTGTGGTCAGGAGCTGTAGTCAGGAGCTGTAGTCAGGAGCTGTAGTCAGGAGCTGTAGTCAGGAGCTATAGTCAGGAGCTGTGGTCAGGAGCTGTAGTCAGGAGCTTTAGTCAGGAGCTGTGGTTAGGAGCTGTGGCCAGGAGCTGTGGTCAGGAGCTGTAGTCAGGAGCTGTGGTCAGGAGCTGTAGTCAGGAGCTGTGGTCAGGAGCTGTAGTCAGGAGCTGTAGTCAGGAGCTGTAGTCAGGAGCTGTAGTCAGGAGCTGTGGTTAGGAGCTGTGGCCAGGAGCTGTGGTCAGGAGCTGTAGTCAGGAGCTGTGGTCAGGAGCTGTAGTCAGGAGCTGTAGTCAGGGGCTGTAGTCAGGAGCTTTAGTCAGGAGCTGTGGTTAGGAGCTGTGGCCAGGAGCTGTGGTCAGGAGCTGTAGTCAGGAGCTGTAGTCAGGAGCTGTAGTCAGGAGCTTTAGTCAGGAGCTGTGGTTAGGAGCTGTGGCCAGGAGCTGTAGTCAGGAGCTGTAGTCAGGAGCTGTAGTCAGGAGCTGTAGTCAGGAGCTGTAGTCAGGAGCTGTGGTCAGGTGCTGTGGTCAGGAGCTTTAGTCAGGAGCTGTGGTTAGGAGCTGTGGCCAGGAGCTGTGGTCAGGAGCTGTAGTCAGGAGCTGTAGTCAGGAGCTGTAGTCAGGAGCTGTAGTCAGGAGCTGTGGTCAGGAGCTGTGGTCAGGAGCTGTGGTCAGGAGCTGTAGTCAGGAGCTGTAGTCAGGAGCTGTGGTCAGGAGCTGTGGTCAGGAGCTGTAGTCAGGAGCTGTGGCCAGGAGCTGTAGTCAGGAGTAAGTAAGTAAGTAAGTAAGCTTTATTTATATACCGCCTTTCACAGACTAGAGTCACAAAGCGGTTTACAATTGTTATTTTTTGGGCACTTGTCCTCTCACTCCACACAGAGATGGGAGCGGGGTCGCCGAACAGGAGGCGCATGCCAGACCTATTGTACATATTTTTAGTGGTAGGGGAAACCGGAGTACCCGGAGGAAACCTACGCAGACACGGGGAGAACATGCAAACTCCACTCAGAAAGGCCCTGGTCCAGCCGGGATTCGAACCCAGGTCCTTCTTGCTGAGAGGCGAGAGTGCTATCCACTCAGCCACCGTGCCGCAGGAGCTGTAGTCAGGAGCTGTAGTCAGGAGCTGTGGTCAGGAGCTGTGGTCAGGAGCTGTAGTCAGGAGCTGTAGTCAGGAGCTTTGGTCAGGAGCTGTAGTCAGGAGCTGTAGTCAGGAGCTGTAGTCAGGAGCTGTGGTCAGGAGCTGTGGTCAGGAGCTGTGGTCAGGAGCTGTAGTCAGGAGCTGTGGTCAGGAGCTGTAGTCAGGAGCTGTGGTCAGGAGCTGTAGTCAGGAGCTGTGGTCAGGAGCTGTGGTCAGGAGCTGTAGTCAGGAGCTGTGGTCAGGAGCTGTAGTCAGGAGCTGTGGTCAGGAGCTGTGGTCAGGAGCTGTGGTCAGGAGCTGTAGTCAGGAGCTGTGGTCAGGAGCTTTAGTCAGGAGCTGTGGTCAGGAGCTGTAGTCAGGAGCTGTGGTCAAGAGCTGTAGTCAGGAGCTGTAGTCAGGAGCTGTGGTCAGGAGCTTTAGTCAGGAGCTGTGGTCAGGAGCTGTAGTCAGGAGCTGTAGTCAGGAGCTGTGGTCAGGAGCTGTAGTCAGGAGCTGTAGTCAGGAGCTGTGGTCAGGAGCTGTGGTCAGGAGCTGTAGTCAGGAGCTGTAGTCAGGAGCTGTGGTCAGGAGCTGTGATCAGGAACCCATAGATGTTGATGCTCGGCTTGTTCAGAACCAGAGCTGGAGGATTTTACCTATTTACATACTATTTACAAACCGGAGCACCTGGAGGAAACCTACACCGACACAAGGAGAGCATGGAGACTCCACTCAGAAAGGCCCTGTTCCGACCGGGATTCGAACCCAGTCCCCCCTGTATGGACCAAAGGCTCTATGTGTTTTTTATCATTGCGTTTCCTGCTTTTGAACGGTCTGATTCTCTGATCTGAGCTTTGTAAAGTCCTCAGAGATAACTACTGTTGTGATTTAGAGCTATACAAAAATGAAATTGAATTGAGTACCTTGAGCGCTATCAACAACATTTTTACGGAATGATTTTTTTTTTATTGAGTTGTTTTAGAGAAAAAAGGCCGGAGTTGTCAGGGGTTAAGTATTTATGTGGGAGTAGATCAACATTCATTCAGACTTTTACAGCTATTTCATTAAAAAACTGAAGCAATTATAAGAAAAGTACTATTAACTTGAAAGAAGTGATGGTTTATATGTAACACCATTTATGCACAGTAATTAAAAACTGCTAAAATGAACAAAATAAACCTCAGTAATGGGAACAAAACCCCTGTTCCTTGATGTTAAATGTGTGAATATTAGTGAATGGCTGAATCCGCCGTGACTGGTTTGGCCTCTCGGCTCCTTTGCCTCCACAGAGCTGCTGCAGGAGAAGGCTCTGACCTCTGCTTCTCTGCTTTTCTCTGATTCTTGGGATTTTTGTTTTGTCCCGTTGCAGATGTGGGCCCTCGACCTCCACCTCTCGTACAGCGACCACCTGGCCATGACCCAGATGCTACTGCACAACACTCAAGGAACACTCCGCTGTCAAAATGCCTTTGAAGTGCCAATGCCAAACACCGGAGAATCTGCTCCAAAAGTATGTTTTTATCACACATATTTAAATTAATCTGACTGTGGATGGAGTTGAAAGGGTGTTTAGACAATGGCGTTTGCTGCATTCTTCTGTGATTCATGTTGAATTGATTTGTAATGGAATTTTGTCAATAGTTTTCTTTCATAAAGAAAAAATGGAGATAGGAGTAAATCTGCTTTTTTACTAAAACACTGAAGGAACTAAATCCATTGAGATTGGATATGTAGATTTGGGGTTGGATCATAGACAGTGGACATACATTCATGAGTATATACACACACACTGGACGGATGAATGTTTTTAATTTAATACATGTTAAAACAAGAGTAACCTCTCGACCTCTACTTTTGGTCATAGATCTACTGTATTGAAGTCCGTAGTTTATCTAAATACTATACACTCGACTACTAATTCAGCGAAGTGGATCAGTACTCCCCCCTTGGACTGCCACCTTAACGTGGTGGGGGAGTTTGAGCACTCGGATGATCCTGGGAGCTATGCTGTCTGGGGCTTCATGCCCCTGGTAGGGTCTCCCATGGCAGACAGGTCTCAAGTGACGAGTCAGACGAAGCGCAGTCCGAAGCCAACCATGGACAGCACGACAACAAAAACCGTGACGTCGCCCGGCATGGCGCAGCCGGGGCCCCACCCTGGAGCCAGGCCTGGGGTCGGGGCTCGCAAGCGAGCGCCTGGTGGCCGGGCCTTAGCCCACGGGGCCCGGCCGGGCTCAGCCCGAAGGGATGACGTGGGCAGTCCCTCCTGTGGGCTCACCACCTGCAGAGGGGTCCGTGGTGGCGAGGTGCAGAGAGGACTGGGCAGCAGTCGAAGGCGGAGACCTCGACGACCCAGTCCACACACCCAACATCTGGCTCTTGGGACGTGGAACGTCACCTCACTGGGGGGGAAGGAGCCCGAGCTTGTGGGGGAGGTTGAGCGATACCGACTAGAGATAGTCGGCCTCACCTCCACACACAGCTTGGGCTCTGGAACCCAACTCCTTGAGAGGGGTTGGACGCTCCACTTTTCTGGTGTTTCCCGCGGGGAGAGGCGGCGAGCTGGGGTGGCCATACTCATTGCCCCCCATCTCAGCCGCCACGTGTTGGAGTTCTCCCCGGTGAATGAGAGGGTCGCGTCCCTCCGCCTCCGGGTGAGGGACAAGTCTCTCACTGTTGTGACGGCCTACGGGCCTAACGGTAGTGCAGAGTACCCGGCCTTCTTGGAGTCCTTGGGAGGGGTACTGGACAGTGCACCGCCCGGGGACTCCGTTATTCTCCTGGGGGACTTCAACGCCCATGTGGGAAATGCCAGTGACACTTGGAGAGGGGTGATTGGGAAGAGCGGCCCCCCTGATCTGAACCCGAGCGGTGTTCAGTTGTTGGACTTCTGTGCCAGTCACGGCCTGTCCATCACGAACACCATGTTCGAGCACAAGGGTGTCCATCAGTGCACGTGGCACCAGGACACCCTAGGCCGGAGGTCGATGATCGACTTTGTAGTCGTATCATCTGACCTTCGACCGCGTGTCTCGGACACTCGGGTGAAGAGAGGGGCGGAGCTGTCAACCGATCATCACCTGGTCGTGAGTTGGATCCGCTGGCAGGGCAGGAGGCCGGTCAGACCTGGCAGGCCCAAGCGTGTAGTGAGGGTTTGCTGGGAACGTCTTGGTGAGCCCCCTGTCAGACGGACTTTCAACTCACACCTCCGGGAGAGCTTCTCCCAGGTCCCGGCAGAGGAGGGGGACATCGAGTCCGAGTGGACCATGTTCTCTTCCTCTATCGCCAATGCGGCGGCTCGTAGCTGTGGTCGCAAGGTCTCTGGTGCTGGTCCCGGCGGCAATCCCCGAACCCGGTGGTGGACACCGGCAGTAAGGGATGCCGTCAGGCTGAAGAAGGAGTCCTATCGAGCAATGATGGTTCGTGGGACTCCTGAGGCAGCTGTCCAGTACCGGCAGGCCAAACGTGCCGCGGCCCGGGCTGTTGCAGAGGCAAAAACCCGGGACTGGGAGGAGTTCGGAGAGTCCATGGAGCATGACTATCGGTCGGCCTCGAAGAGGTTCTGGCAAACCGTCCGGCGCCTCAGGAGGGGGAAGCAGTTCTTTGCCAACACCGTGTATGGTGCGGGTGGAGGGCTGCTGACCTCGACTGGGGATATTGTCGGGCGGTGGAAGGAATACTTCGAGGTTCTCCTCAATCCCCCCGTCACGTCCCCCGTCCAGGAGGCAGAGGCTGAGGATGTTGGGGCGGATACTTCCATCTCCCTGGCCGAGGTCACCAAGGTGGTTGGCAGCCTCCATGGTGGCAAGGCGCCGGGAGTGGATGAGATCCGTCCTGACTATCTAAAGTCTCTGGATGTTGTAGGACTGTCTTGGCTGACACGTCTCTGCAACATCGCGTGGCGATCGGGGGCGGTGCCAATGGAGTGGCAGACCGGGGTGGTGGTCCCTCTCTACAAGAAGGGGGACCGGAGGGTGTGTTCCAATTATCGTGGGATCACACTCCTCAGCCTCCCCGGTAAGGTCTACTCCAAGGTACTGGAGAGGAGGCTTCGTCCGATGGTCGAATCTCGGATTCAGGAGGAGCAGTGTGGTTTTCGTCCCGGTCGCGGAACACTGGACCAGCTCTATACTCTCCATCGGATACTCGAGGGTTCATGGGAGTTCGCCCAACCTGTCCACATGTGCTTTGTGGATTTGGAGAAGGCGTTCGACCGCGTTCCCCGGGGTGTCCTTTGGGGGGTCCTCCGGGAGTACGGGGTCCGGGGTCCTCTGCTGAGGGCTGTTCGGTCCCTGTATGACCGGAGCCAGAGCTGTGTTCGCATTGCTGGCAGTAAGTCAGACCTGTTCCCGGTGCATGTTGGCCTCCGCCAAGGCTGCCCTTTGTCACCGGTTCTGTTCACTGTATTTATGGACAGAATCTCTAGGCGCAGCCAGGGGCCGGAGGGGGTCCGGTTCGGGAACCACAGGATTTCATCTCTACTTTTTGCGGGATGATGTCGTCCTGCTGGCTCCAACGAACCAGGACCTGCAACATGCACTGGGACGGTTTGCAGCCGAGTGTGAAGCGGCTGGGATGAGAATCAGCACCTCCAAATCCGAGGCCATGGTGCTTGACCGGAAAAAGGTGCCTTGCCCTCTCCAGGTGGGTGGAGAGGTCCTTCCTCAAGTGGAGGAGTTCAAGTATCTCGGGGTCTTGTTCACGAGTGAGGGGAGGATGGAGCGTGAGATTGACAGGCGGATCGGTGCAGCGTGCGCAGTGATGCGGTCTCTGTATCGGACCGTTGTGGTAAAGAGGGAGCTGAGCCGAAAGGCAAAGCTCTCAATTTACCGGTCAATCTTCGTTCCCTCCCTCACCTATGGTCATGAGCTGTGGGTAATGACCGAAAGAACGAGATCGCGGATACAAGCGGTCGAAATGAGCTTCCTCCGCAGAGTGGCTGGGCGCTCCCTTAGAGATAGGGTGAGGAGCTCGGTCACACGGGAGGAGCTCGGAGTAGAGCCGCTGCTTCTCCACGTCGAGAGGAACCAGTTGAGGTGGCTCGGGCATCTGTTCAGGATGCCTCCTGGACGCCTTCCTGGGGAGGTGTTCCGGGCACGTCCCACCGGGAGGAGGCCCCGGGGAAGACCCAGGACACGCTGGAGAGACTATGTCTCTCAGCTGGCCTGGGAACGCCTAGGGGTCCCCCCGGACGAGCTTGAGGAGGTGTGTGTGGATAGGGAAGTCTGGGCGTCTCTGCTTAGACTGCTGCCCCCGCGACCCGGCAACGGATAAAGCGGAAGAAAATGGATGGATGGATGGATCAGTATGTTTTGGATACTGATCTAAAGATGGAGATTGGAGATCTTTGCCAGTGCAGGAGGGTCTAAGGACAGGGCTGATGATCCAGGACATTTATGGACATTTATTAAGACTTATGGACATTAGGTCAGAGGGAGAGTGAGTGCTGCTGTTGGCTGGGTATGAGTCAGGTGCTCTTCAGGGGCCAAATGCCAAAATATATATTTTAAAGAGAAAAAAAGAATGTCCAAGGCAAACTGTCTTTATGTCTTCATCATCAGGGCAAACAGTCATCATCAGGGCAAACAGTCATCATCAGGGCAAACAGTCATCATCAGGGCAAACAGTCATCATCAGGGCAAACAGTCATCATCAGGGCAACAGTCACTTAGTCACATTTATTAACATTTGTGGACATTTGCCATGCGCCCCCTATGGACCATTCGCATGTTTGTTATTCATGTGTTTCTCTCATCTCTTGGTGTAGAATCAACAACTTCAAGACGACTGTTGTGAATTAAGGCTATTCTTGGGTTTCATATGACGTTGGGGCAGTGGCGCGAATGACATACGTGGGACAGGACCGGACGTGACGTACCCTGGCGGTGCAGTCTGCCGGGTTTATACACAGAGATATAGTAGAAGAAGAAGCGCTGTCAAAATGCCATCTTTTTGTGCGGTGTACGCTTGTAGCAACCGCACAGATAGAGTACAATAGAGTACATTTTGAAAAAATCACTGGAATGAGGCGGGCGAGGTGGATCAAGGCTTTCCCAGATAAGCGCCCCCTGCAGGCCACCCCAATGAAACGCAGCAATTTCTTCGATTATTTTTTCCAGAAATGCCCGAAATGAAGATTCTTATGATAACATTTTTTTAGTACTGCCTTAGAATTGAGTGTCCCTGAATAAAACTGTTACAACATCCGTACACCGGTTGACACCATCTCTGCTCATGCGCCCCCTACAGGCCAGAATCATGAAACACAAGAATACAAAAATATATGTAAGTGACTAACTTTGTCAAAATAGTATTACACGTTTTTCAACATTTAAATTACAGGGTTTAAACATTTTTTAATAAGCTTTTCAGGACTTAAGTTATTAAATCAGTGAAGAGAATCTCACTAATGGAGATTCTTTGGCAAAAAGAAATGAACCCAAAGTGAAGAACTGCAAAAATAATGGATTTAACAAGAAGTAAAACAAAAGAAAATCCAGAGACAACACAAACCAAAACAAAGACTGATGACGAGAACTAAAACTGACATGGAACGACAAGGGGACGGATCAGGGAGAGAAGGACGGTCCAGGGTTTAATACAAGACTAATGAGACCCAGGTGAGACACATGAAGGCGGGTCATTGAAAAATAAAACAGGAAATAATCCTGAACCATGACTGTAGTGTCCTGGAGTCGCTGAAACAGATAAGTCCTGTTTGGACGCAAAGCCAGACTGTAGAATTGAATTAGTTCTGGGAAAGATATCCTTTGGTTAAATACCACTAAATACTGTAATTATGCGGTGAGCTCAATTGGTGTTAAGGTGGTGCATTCATTATCATTTTGATAGATGAGTCTAAATAATCAACACATTAATAATTCATAGCGTTTTGATTATGCGTGTGCTCCAACACCTCATCAGCCGCTGCCAGGCCTTAAACAAAAGACTCTTTTTATTAGCACTGCGCTGAGTTTACGCTTGTTAATCTGCAGCGTGTAGTATTTTATCAAGCATTCATTGAGCTGGAGCTACAGCAGTAATGGCTTCAATGACCGTCATTAGAGTCCGCCACTTTACAAACACCATTAAAGCGTCTGGACGCACAGTGTGACAGAGGCCTCTGTGGTCACTGATGCTCCGACTGGGAATACTGGTCAATACAGAGAAAACTCATTTACTGCATCAGTCTGAGGGAGAATCTCAGAGGAGCACAGGGACTGGCCTCCTGCTGGGACCCTGAGGAGCACAGGGACTGGCCTCCTGCTGGGACTCTGAGGAACACAGGGACTGGCCTCCTGCTGGGACTCTGAGGAGCACAGGGACTGGCCTCCTGCTGGGACTCTGAGGAACACAGGGACTGGCCTCCTGCTGGGACTCTGAGGAGCACAGGGACTGGCCTCCTGCTGGGACTCTGAGGAACACAGGGACTGGCCTCCTGCTGGGACTCTGAGGAGCACAGGGACTGGCCTCCTGCTGGGACTCTGAGGAACACAGGGACTGGCCTCCTGCTGGGACTCTGAGGATCACAGGGACTGGCCTCCTGCTGGTCCCAGACTCAGGACTAAACATGACGAGGCAACATTTCAGATTTAAGGAACTACATTTTGGAACAGTCTTCCTGAAAACGTGTGACAGGCGTCTTCTCTGACAATCTTTAAATCCAGGTCACAAACAGTTTCTAAAGGATTTTATCTTTACCCTTTTTTAATGTACTGTGATTATTTATGATTTGTTTTGTTCAGACCTTTGTGTTGCCTCCTGTATAAACTGTGCTATACCAATAAACTTGCCTTAATGTGCATCAGCAAAACATTACAGAAATACAGTGGTGTGCAGTGTAGCTAAAGGATCGCTGTGATTGGTTGTTTGAGCCCTGTGCCCGCCCCCCAACCAAGATTCTGTCAAATGTAGATTTTCCATGTATTTCTTTCGTCATTGGATTAATAATAATGTTGTTTCCAGACTTTTACAGAAAAGCGATACGCCGTTCTGAGCAGTAAACTTGTCCACGCAAACCTGTCCATGCTGTACCGCCCCGTGTTCTTCCAGATGTGCAAAGTCCGAGGGATTGGATTCAACTCACAGGTACTTCTCCAACAAACTCTACAATCTTTATTTGTAGAGCACGTTTTACACAGTCTGGGCCAGGGCTGTCAAACTCAGGGCAGAATACTTTAGGGCAGAATAAAAAAGTAAGGGTTGGTTTGGGGCCTAAAGTATAAAAGTGGTTTTCTTTTATAAATATTAGTATGGCTCCGTTTCACTTCTCGGACCTCTTGACCCCACTCTGCTCTGGCCTCACTCTTAGGTCCACAGGTCAAAATGTACTTGCGGTCCCAAAGACCCGCTATAAGACCCGGGGGGACCGGCCCTTCCAGTCTGTGGCCCCCAGACTGTGGAACGCGTTGCCTCTGTCCCTCCGTGTGGCCAACTCTGTCGATGCTTTTAAAAAGGGACTAAAGACACTTCTTTTTAGGGCAACTTTTAGTTAATTTCTTGTTTTTTATGTTGTTATTTTCTACATTTTCTTATTTCTATTATGTATGCATATCTGCTTTTACCTTGTACAGCACTTTGTGATTTTTATCTGTGAAAGGCGCTCTATAAATAAAATTTACTTACTTACTATAAATATTTTTGAAAGTATTTTGAGAAATTACTCGTTTCTCATTAGTTACATTGAATATTCTTTTATTCCTGATGGATTTTTCTGAACCAAATGAGTTCAGTTACTGCGGGTTTCACCAAAACTGGACCAAATATTAAGAATAAAAGTAATTAAACTCTTTGGTAAAATGTATGTAACTTCTAATCACATGTTGGCTTAACATTTCAGAATAATTTGAATAATATGGTTGAAGATTAGATTTTTTTAACTTAAAATAATAATTTAAAATAATTTCAGGACCATAAATGGTCTTAAAGCTGGATTTGGTCCGTGGGCCAGAGTTGGACTTTTCTGGTCTAGGCTGTACCAAAGTGCTGTACAGACAAACGGAATAATAACACATAAAAATACAGAAATATAGACACATAAAAACGTGTCTCTTAAGCAAAGATTTAAATCCTACTGAGATCGCGGAGTGATAATAAGTTTTGGGTTCTTTCCAGAAGAAACAAGGAACGCAGTTTGCACTTTACGACTGCTCCGTGCGACGCCGGATCGGAATGATGTAAGTAATAATCAACGAAGACTGGAGACATCAGTAATAATGCCTCATGTTCAGTTTATCTACGGATTATAATTCAGGTCCATGATTGACTCATGTTTTTCATTCTTTGCTTTATCAATGATCATTGGGCCGAAAGAAATGAACTGTAACATATGTGTGTTTTTGGACTAGGGCTGGGGACTGGCAAAAATGTGAGGATTTGATAGTATTGTGATATTTAGGCCACAATTCAATATTATCGTGATTCTTGACATATCGTGATACAGACAGGATGGGATTTCCCTTCATATTATTCAAAGACTTTATAAGCATGGAGTCACAAGAAGCAGATATCATAGAGTCACAACAAGCTGACATCATAGAGTCACAATAAGCAGACATAGAGTCACAACAAGCAGACGTCATATAGGAAGAGAAACCTCAGATGGAAATGGCCAGAAGAAACTCAGAGAAAACACAAAAGTTAAACAGATTATTATTTAAATTAAGGAGCAGTGTGTAAAAATTTGGCCAAAAGTGGTACTGCAGCCTCTCCCACTCTCCCTGACTCAGGTTGCCAGATATGCAGACGAATCCAGCTGGGACCATAACAGCTGAATAGACAAGAGTTTTGTCAACAACAAATCTATAACCAACACCTTTTTCACAAAGATAAAAATCCTGGTTTTATTCCTTGTTTTGTCGTTAATGATTTGAGAATCATAACGAGACCTTTTTTAGTTCAGCGCCACATGGTACTTTACCAGTGAGATTATCTCCACGCTTGAGTTCTGGCGCCCGGATCACAGACTTTCTGATTGGGGAAACGGTGGAGGGCGGGACATCAAAATGAAAACAATAACAAGATTTAGAGGCTGGAAAAGTAATTTAGAAATTCAATGATCAATTAAGGCATTTTAACAGATTAGGGCCCTTTAATGATGACTTGACATGAAAATCTTTGATATTTCTACTTTAAATATGTCACTTTTCTCTACTGTATTGATTTAATTGTGTGTGTGCAAAATATCGCAATACTGAACAGAATCGATTTTCCCTCCTCCACTATTTAATTCTGTGAGTCTCCGGCAGCATAGCGGTTCAGAGTCTGGGTGAAGTCTCAGGATTAACACAGAGAATGTTCCTCTGCAGTACATGGTCTCTTTAAGCTGCAGGTTATTCACCATCTTCATCACACAGATCCTGGACTCCCACAGCCCGGTAATAGCTCTGAGCCAGGCCCCGAGAGACGCCGCTGATTCTGTCCAAACTTCTATCGAACCTGCATCAGATGAGGTGCCGTGGGCTCATTAGTAAACTCGTTTGTTTTGGCTGTTTGAGCAGAGCGGTGTCTGAGAGTCCCGAGGGAGCACTAGTGACCTTTGCACACAACCTGTCAGTCATCCATCAGGAGATATCATCCTCTCGAACACAAGGAGAAACCAATTTCAAGGTGCGTGTGTGCTAATGACTTAATGATCCCTCTCTGTCTGTGTCAGAAAGGCTGTGCTTCAGTCAACATATTGGCAGCTACTGTATGTTTCTAACACCGGGTTAACAAGTCATTTCTAGTCTGAATAATTACTGTAAAATAAAGCGGTAAATGCTTCTTGTAGGAACTGATTAAGGCTATCGAAGAGTTTCTCCTGAAGAACAAGCACCGCTGCAGTGTGGTCAGTAAAAACACTTAGACCTCCATTTTCCTTCTCCCTTTTCTGATCTGAAATGAAGTCGCATAAAAGAACTCATCAGAAATGTCAATGCTAGCTCTATCTGCAATGACATGCAAAGGCTAGCTGAATTGATAATGCTATTTTGTGTGTGTGTGTGTTTTTTGTGTGATAATTCTTCTTTTGGTACGCACAGCCTTGTGGGAAAGAAACTTAAATCAGCACCTTGGCCTGTATTTCCTCGATCAGTGGCTGCACCTGCTCCATCCGCAGCATACAACACTTAATGTAGTAATTCTGTGAGAGAGACCTTCGTGTGGCAGAGCAGAGACAGGACTCAGGGCTACAGGCAAATTGGCGCTTAGAACACTGGTTTAAGGTGCACATCCAAAACTGAAATCATATTGAATCTTTCGCAGACAATTTAAACGTATCAATCGGGACATATCAAACAAACGTAATATTTAGAAAAAGGAGCAAGTGTCACTGATTAATACTTTGTGCTGGGACCTTGTGAGCTGCCTTTATTTACAACCATTGATTTTCATATTTTTTTTGTTTTGTTTCATTCTCACACATCCCGTCTGTGATAGCATCAGGTGGTAATCTATACAATATATACACGTTTACCCGACTCTTTCTCCTCATGTTCAGCAGTTTTAATATTTTTGCTTTACCTCTCTTCAGCCATTCATTCATCAGCAACATTTATGGCATGGATAGAAATTAGGCAAGATTTATTTGTAAATCACAATTCATACACAAAGCTTTACAAAAACAGAAAGGAAACTTTAAAGTCATGAAGTGATTAAAAACATAAATAATCAAAGTACATTAAACAAATCTGTTGTAGTGTGTAATCTAACCAGCATATTTTGTACTTTGGACCCCTTTTATATCTGTATAATTTTTACTGCTAAATATTATTATCTGTAGCACTGTACATCTTTGTTTTGACAGTATCTATATCTTAAGTCATTAATATCTCAAGTGATAGTGTTCTGATGACGCACATTGGCTCAAATTATATAAAAAGCCCTGTCTCTTGTTGTTTGATCTGAAGGGACTTGGAAATAAACCATTTTACAGGTGCAATATTGTTCTAATGAGTTTAACTTTAACCACACTTGCTTCAAAGTGTTATAAAATATCCAAAGTACACACAGACCAGACAGAACTGACAGGATTGTTATTGTTGCATTATGTCGGACTAGATAAAATGCTATGGCAAATCTCTCTGGTTTTCAATTTACTATTTCATTCGTTGATTTTGTGGAACCTTTGTGCCGCGCTATGTTTCTATCCGGAAATAAATATTTGACGCACAAAAGACATGCTAGCCGGCTTCATGCTTATCGACAATTTTTCATCAAATTCTTGCATGACAATATGTATCAATCTGCTGATCATCTTCACTAGCCTTTTATAGCCACATGTATGAAGCAGCTTGTTTGTTTCTGCATGACCCGTGGCGTGTGTAGCCGTGGCAAGCTAGCTCAATGCTAACGTCAACTTCCAATATTTACTGTTCCCCTCAATGTCACTCCATCAGCGAGCGTATGGTGGTTACAGTCTAATCCAAATGGGTAACCAACGAACTGATTTATTATGAAGGAACTACTTAGGACCCTCCACGGCTTTTGGCTCAAAGTGCTCCTCTTCCCGAGCTCGTTCGGCCGCCTCTCGGTGCCTCGTCCCCCCGCCTCAGAGGTCCTGACTTGCCACCTGCAGCAGCGCAAACTTCCCCCTTGGACCTCGTTCTGTGTCCGCTACAGCTCCGTGCACAATGACCAGTTCGGTTTGTCCAACTTTAACTGGACAGTGCAGGGTCATAACTACCACATCCTCCGCACTGGCTGCTTCCCTTTCATCAAGTACCACTGCAGCAAAGCCCAAGCCCAGGACCTGCGCTTCGAGGACCGGTTCTTCTCTGCGCTCAAAGTCATCAACCTCGGTCAGTACCAGACTTAACACAACATAGACGTCATAGATTCTGTTAATCCGTAATCATTGTGGTTAAACGCTGCAGAGAGATCGCAAATACATTTTATTGATTTTAAATGTATTGAGTTGTGCTGGGTTAATGCTTACGAATCCATATTTCTTCAGTTAATGTAATGTCATTATTCTGATTTCTTTTTAACCAATTATATTTACACTCATAAGGAAAACAACATGTTTATGTATGTAAAAAGAGTGTTTCAAAATTGAGTATTTTAGCATGTGTACTAGTCATCTGCATTCTTAAAAAATAGTTAAATCTCGAGTTTGTGCCATATGATATTTGTATATACTAATTTATGGATGCTAAGTTTAGTCATTAACAATGTATTTACTTAATCCTGTACTTGCCACAGTGTTGCAGATTGTCAGTGACCAGTGTAGACAGACGGTGCATTAAGTTCATGATTTTACTCATCAGTTGTGATTTGTTTCAGGTCTTCCGTGTTTGGCGTACGGCATTGGCTGCTGGATGGTGATCGGCGCATCAGAAACAGTGCTGACCTCGACTGGACCTGTCACTGTGTACTTTGCATACAAAGAACAAGAGGGAGCTCAATATTAAACCCCCTGCTCTGCTGATTTTTGTGATGAATAATTTAGACTTTAAAACCGATGCTCTCGAGTCAGTTATGCATGTTATTACACTGGCACACAACACTGACCCTGTGTGAAAGGTAACTTTATTAAAATTTTATGAGAAACTTGAGATTTTCCTTCGTTTTCACTGGTCTTTCTGACATGAGTCTCTCATTTCAGTCTTACAAAGAACTGTTGTGTATAGACTACATAGGATTACATGCAGAGTTACACCATTTGACCTTTCCTCATATGCACACATGGAAGGCAGACCACATGTGGGTTATGTTGAAGATAATTATCATATAATTGTGCTCAGTACCATTTACAATGTATGAAACACATATACCTGTAACACATGCTGTAGTTGTAATTGTATCCATGTGATTATTCATGAGTCAAGGGAATGCTCATGATAATCATAGTGGTTTAAAGTCCTCCAAAGGTATGTTTAGTGTGTGTCTGAAGCATGTGGAGATGGTTAGACATTAGTTCCCTGCACATCGACTGAGAGGCTGATAAATGTTCAGCCAGAGCTTGTTCGTCTTGTTGTTCATTACCTTAAACTTTGTGGTGACCAGTCAAAAGCAACACATGCTCAGTGTTTATCTTAGCGGCGAGAGAAAGGGAAATGCTGATGGGTTTGCTGCAGGCGTTGGTGTTATTTGATTTTTAGTAATGTATTTGCTGACCAGGCTCGGCCCTGTTCAGGTGGCAGTGTGACAAACTGCTCTATTGATTTCTTTGCCCTCTGCACTCACTACTAATGACATTTATCAGCAACCTTTTCAGGTCTAGACCTCTTCATTTTAACAATGAAACCAAAGGATTCATTTTCTTGTCGAACATGTAAATCAATGGCCCTCTGACCTGAGCTGCACTTGATCTGCCTCAGCTCCAGTAATGCTTAAAACAGTTCATAGGAAGTATTTACTGTACAAGATACTGATACTGATACTGATACTAATATGAATACTGATACTGTTACTAATACTAATATGAATACTGTTACTGATACTATTATGAATACAGATACTGTTACTGATACTAATATGAATACAGATACTGTTACTGATACTAATATGAATACAGATACTGTTACTGATACTAATATGAATACAGATACTATTACTGATACTAATATGAATACAGATACTGTTACTGATACTAATATGAATACAGATACTATTACTGATACTAATATGAATACTGATACTAATATGAATACTGATACTGTTACTGATACTAATATGAATACTGATACTGTTACTGATGATTCTACTGTGTCTTTGAGGTACATCTTAGTACCTTATCTAATTGTAATGTAGGCAGTAGTCTTACATTCTTACACAAACATAATAAAAGTGGATAAACAAATGGCACTAGTCAGTCATGTGCTTTATCATGTTTCATTATGAAATGTTGTAAAGTTCAATCATACATTAAGGGAAGTGACCAGTTTGTTGGCAAACATCTGCAGAACTATCTCTGGATCATTCTAATTGCATTAAAGGGAACATTTAGACGCCTCGGTGAAAAGGTGAGCGCCTTGTGTTTCGTGTTTCTTGTTCCACAATTGAGAGAGTGCATGGGGAATGCTCAGGGAAGCATGTCTGCCTCTCTGTTTGACCCTGTGCCCTGGGAGCACAGACGCACTCGCTGTGGGGTTGAAATCCACACTGGGCCTCGCCGTGTGACTGCTGGGTGGTTTTCAGGGTGTCACCTTGGAGCCATTAAACCTGCAGCACCCTGAGCCCAGACAGGGATCAGTGTTACCTTTCACACGGCGAGGGTTCACTCCAACTGTTGCAAAGTAAATACAACGGAATGATTCGCTTCTGCTGCTCCTGTTTATGCAAGTCACTTCAGTAATAAACACTTAGTTACAAAAGACTTTCAGCTTCTACACACGTGATTAAGAAAGGATTCATGGTTTTACACTGGTCCAGAGCAGAGCAGAGAGGATTCATGGTTTTACACTGGTCCAGAGCAGAGCAGAGAGGATTCATGGTTTTACACTGGTCCAGAGCAGAGCAGAGAGGATTCATGGTTTTACACTAGTCCAGACCAGAGCAGAGAGGATTCATGGTTTTACACTGGTCCAGACCAGAGCACAGAGGATTCATGGTTTTACACTGGTCCAGACCAGAGCACAGAGGATTCATGGTTTTACACTAGTCCAGACCAGAGCAGAGAGGATTCATGGTTTTACACTAGTCCAGACCAGAGCAGAGAGGATTCATGGTTTTACACTGGTCCAGACCAGAGCACAGAGGATTCATGGTTTTACACTGGTCCAGACCAGAGCACAGAGGATTCATGGTTTTACACTGGTCCAGACCAGAGCAGAGAGGATTCATGATTTTACACTGGTCTAGACCAGAGCAGGGAGGATTCATGGTCCAAACCAAGTGGATCAGATAAAATCCACAGGAGGAATGCTAACTTTTTGAAAAATGCTAATGAAGCCTTTAGCATTTTACTTAGGACCAGAGCAGAGAAAATGCTCCAGCCAGAGGCTACTCCACCTCTGCTGCTGTGACCCGTCCTGCTCCACCCAGAGGCTACTCCACCTCTGCTGCTGTGACCCGTCCTGCTCCACCCAGAGGCTACTCCACCTCTGCTGCTGTGACCCGTCCTGCTCCACCCAGAGGCTACTCCACCTCTGCTGCTGTGACCCGTCCTGCTCCACCCAGAGGCTACTCCACCTCTGCTGCTGTGACCCGTCCTGCTCCACCCAGAGGCTACTCCACCTCTGCTGCTGTGACCCGTCCTGCTCCACCCAGAGGCTACTCCACCTCTGCTGCTGTGACCTGAAGGGCTGTGGCTGATTATTACTAGCTTTTTAGAATGATCAATTTTATTTTTTATTTTTGCTGCTGACGTGAATTTCTTCGACATAGATCAATAGAGTATCTATCTATGTATCCCTCTGTCTCTATCTATCTAAAAACAGGATCCTGGTTTGTAATGAAGTAGAGCTCAGCAGACCCAGAAATCCACAGCTAAATGAAGCAAATAGATCTGTGTTTGTCTCAGATTGATGCGTGTTAATAGGCAGCCGGCTCCAGTCCCTTATTGACGAGAATGGAGTGTTTAAATTAACTTGTGATGCGCTAATGAAGGAAGAACGAATGCTTGTGTTGTGTTTAATTGCAAACTGAAGCTAGTAATAAGTTGTGTCAAGGTGAAATCTTTAAATACTTGTACTATTTACTATCTTGGTAAGTAAAGCCAGAGCCGAGCTGGGGCCAAGACTAGAAGCTGCTCATCAACTGCAAGCTGCAATTAGATCGTATGAATTTACCGCAAATCAATTCAAATCAATTTAAATCACAACAGTAATTATCTCTTGGACTTTAGCAGAAACACATCAAACAAACAAACGAATACATAGATCATTGATAGTTACTAACAATCGTAATAAAGTGAAGCAGGTGGTGTAGCCTCTGCTCTCCCTCTCTGGTCTCTTTCTGTTCTCTCTCTCTCTGTTCTCTCTGGTCTCTCTCTCTGGTCTCTCTCTGTTCTCTCTGGTCTCTCTCTGGTCTCTTTCTGGTCTCTCTCTGGTCTCTTTCTGGTCTCTCTCTGCTCTCTCCGGTCTCTCTGGTCTCTCTCTGTTCTCTCTCTGGTCTTTCTCTCTCTGGTCTTTCTCTCTCTGGTCTCTCTCTGGTCTCTCTCTGGTCTCTCTCTGGCCTCTCTCTGGCCCCTCTCTGGTCTCTCTCTGCTCTCTGGTCTCTCTGGTCTCTCTCTGGCCCCTCTCTGGTCTCTCTCTGCTCTCTGGTCTCTCTCTGGTCTCTCTCTGGTCTCTCTCTGTTCTCTCTGGTCTCTCTCTGGTCTCTCTCTGCTCTCTCTCTGCTCTCTCTTTGGTCTCTCTCTGGTCTCTCTCTGCTCTCTCTTTGGTCTCTCTCTGGTCTCTCTCTGGTCTCTCTCTGGTCTCTCTCTGTTCTCTCTGGTCTCTCTCTGGTCTCTCTCTGCTCTCTCTCTGCTCTCTCTTTGGTCTCTCTCTGCTCTCTCTTTGGTCTCTCTTTGGTCTCTCTCTGGTCTCTCTCTGGTCTCTCTCTGCTCTCTCTTTGGTCTCTCTCTGGTCTCTCTCGTGGGTTTAAGATTAAGAGATCCTTTATTAGTTTGAATCCCAGTTTGAACAGGGCCTTTCTGTGTGGCGTTTACATGTTCTCCCCCTGTCTGCATGGGTTTCCTCCAGGTGCTACGGTTTCCCCTACCAAACCCTAAAAACATGTACAATAGATCTGAATGTAACGAGTGAGTGAACGGATGGTGTTTGGTCGGAGGCTTTGATGGACCAGTGTGTTCGGCGTATCACTTCTGTCGTCATTGTGTGGAGAGAATGGAACAATATTTGAACTCTGAACATCAGAAAGCTTTTGGGGACCTTGGTCTGTAAAAATGTGCTATATTTCTAAACATTACTTTCTTACTGATGGGTGTGCTTGAGAACATTCTTTCTCCCTCACCACCAATGCACAATAAATTACTTAGGCCTAATTATTAAGATATTATGTACCTCAAATTTAATGGAAATACATTACTCTCAGAATAATAAAATACTATTTGTCGGACGTGATACAGATGTTGATGGTAGAAGTAATAATTATGAGAGCGACCCCTGCTGCTAACTCTGAAGAGGTTATTATGGTTTGGCTGGTGCGGGCCAGCGGCAATGTGTCTGAGGGCTGAGTACGCAGCAGGAAGTCCCCGTCACGTCACAAAACCAGCACCGGTGTCACAAGATTCACCAGGGAATGTCACGCTGTAATATTAATGTGACAAATGCTGCAGAAATGTGCTTTGGTTCAGAGTTTGAGAACAAAGCAAAGAAGGGAGGGAGGGGACAGTGATGACACCCCTTCACCTGTCACTGGGGCTTAAGGGTAATATTTCATTTCTGGTCTGAAAGTGTGTTGTTTTGAGCCACAGATTGACTTATAATGTGTTTTTAAGGCCATTGAGTCTTTCTGATACTGAGCC